CACTGAAGTCTGTGTAATTTTTCTTGAAATCAGACTTCTATATACTACTTTTTATCAAGATAGAATATTTTTTTTTCATCTTGTTTTTATAGATTAAGTTCTTACAAGATTGTGTGTAAATAGTGTCCCCAATAAGCAGGAGTGCTAAATATATAAGACACTGTAATAAAGTTATTATTTTGATTATGCACTGATTCTATGTACTTTTAAGACCTAAAGGTACAGGCCCCAAGGCTGACTTCAGCTCTAAGGCCCTGCACGCTGTCACAAAATCCAATCTGAACTTTAGAAATCTGGAGTACCTCTCCACAAACAAACAGTCTTATTTTATCTTATTCACTGTGTTTTTCTAGTGAATTTTGAGTACGTTTCCTCTCTGAAAACTAGCATTTTGCAATACATTGCCACAGGTTTTCAGCCCTCACAATTGCAGCATGCCCCTCTTTTGAATTTCAAGCAGCTCTTTTCAATTGGAAAACAAAGATATTTTACACCTACGAACGTGGTCTGGATCACGCAAAATGAAATTAATCAAATCAAATGTTGTTGTCAATCGTTTGTTTACTTTTAGAACTCAAGTTAAAAAGTTCGGATGGAAGATATTAAAAGAAATAATAACAGGTTGATATTTTAGATCTTGAGCACGGGTTCTCTTTGGAACAGACCAAGAAGCCCTCACACCAACCGATAGCCACGCTGGGGCTGCTACGGCCTGCCATGTATTGAAAAATTGCCGTTCAGAATTCGGATTTATTTACTTTGCATCTGCCACTTAGAAGCTAGCAAATATCGAATTCGTACCCTGATATCATTTGGGTATTTGTGATCATCTATGGACTCGTTTTGGTATGATTTCAACTCTTGATCGTGAAGATGCATGGCATGACAAGGTAAGAAATCTTCAACCAATTTCGTTTTAGATCTTTCATATCGATTGGTGCTGGAGCAAAATACTAAGACATTTCTCACTTGTTTGCAGGTAATTCGCTATATAGCGCTTGTGAAATATTTGCGGAAGACTTCAAATACTTAAGCCACGTGCGCTCGAAGCGAAGATGGTTCTCCTTCAAGCTTTCGAACTTTCAAATGCCGGGACTTGTATTTACTAATTTGGAACATATTTGAGTACTGACATATATTTTGATGTTTAGTTACGTTTTCGTTGTATCCTAGTTCTGCAGTTTCTAATTTGTTTTCAAGTTACGTCTGATATAACCCAAAACAAGCAAAACTGTGTCATCTTCTGATTCTTTTTTACTTTTTTGGTAAAATTGCTACAGTTATTTTCCTCATCTTTGATAATAATCGCGCGAGAAGTACATTTACTTCTGATTGGAAAACCCCTTATAGGCAAACCCCTATTTACAGCCTTCAGCATTTCCCTTCTGGTAGCTTTAATTCCCCTCAAGGTCACCCCGCATTCCATATTAACTCTGTTAAACTGCGATATTTGAATTGATTTTATTGCCTCTGAAAAGCTCTTTCGTCCCTTTAGAATTTGAAGACTTTTTACGATACAAATTCGTCTATGTTGTACTCCAATTTCCGTTTACTCAAAAATCAACTTCTCAGTTTCTTTATTTCCAGTGCGAGATTTATCGTTCCATTCCTGTTCTATTTGCTCGTAACTTTTATTGAATTGAGCCCCGGTTTTTCCATTGTATTTTCGATTTAAATCTATTCAATTTACCCCTGTTTTTCCATTGTATTTTCGATTTAAATCTATTCAATTTACCCCCATTTACCATTGTAATTTCGATTTAAATCTATTCAATTTACCCCCGATTTTTCATTGTATTTTCGATTTAAATCTATTCAATTTACCCCCGTTTTCCATTGTAATTTCGATTTCAATCTATTCAATTTACCCCCGATTTTTCATTGTATTTTCGATTTTAATCTATTCAATTTACCCCCGTTTTCCATTGTATTTTCGATTAAAATCTATTCAATTTACCCCCGTTTTCAATTGTATTTTCGATTTAAATCTATTCAATTTACCCCCGTTTTCCATTGTAATTTCGATTTAAATCTATTCAATTTACCCCCGATTTTTCATTGTATTTTCGATTTTAATCTATTCAATTTACCCCCGTTTTCCATTGTATTTTCGATTTAAATCTATTCAATTTACCCCCGAACTTCTTTGTTTTTAAGTCATACAACTATTGTTCAATCAAAAAAAATTGTTTGTTTTCATTGAAAATTGTCTTTGAAGTTTGACAGTGTTTCTTTTGTCTTGACTCATAAAACCTTTGGCTATTTCTATAAGAGTCTTTATAGATTTCTATAGAAATTGAAAAGATATTCCCCCGTCTTTATATTAGAAAATCCTGTTGGCGATCGAAGGTTTTCCATTGTTCTTCTACGACGGCCATGCCCCTAAACGGTGGCTTCAACAAATGTGGCTGGGAGCCGCGAATGATTGACAGGTCATTGTTTTCAACCAATCAGATTGCTCCATTTGAGCTTTTTTGGTGGCTGCGGGCGAGGGCCGTCACCTATAATATAGGGGAAATTTTAGAAACAGCGGCCACTGGCGGCCACCATTGTTTTTCAACCAATCAGATTGAGCCATTTTGGTCTCACTCTATTGTTTACTGACCAATCAGAGTCCTTCAATTCAAATTTTCTATTGTTTTCTGACCAATCATCATTTAGAAAGTTCTATTGTCTTTTCAATTGTTTTTAACCAATCAGATTCGCTCATTTCAGCCCGATTTGCCTCGTTTTGATGCCCACCGAAGACGGGGGGTTACAGCCTCGTTTGGACCGGTCAAAAGACGGGGGTCAAAAATAATTTTTGCTCGATTTTCTCCTCTTCATTCAAGCGATCTTACTCTACTTACAATGTTAAGTTCTACCTTAGTGCCGAGGAGACTGTTTTCGAAAGGGGTTTGTCTAAGCATGGTGTTTTAAGCAAAGGGTTAACAAGAAGGAAAGAAGTCCCCCTTGTTAACCCTTCGATTAAAACACCGTGCCAAGAAAACCCTTCGAATGTTGTGTTAGGGGTTATGTTAACATGGTGTTTTAAGCAAAGGGTCAACAAAAAAGAGAAGAACTCCTTCCCGTTAACCCTTCGATTAAAACACCGTGCTAACATAACCACTAACATAACACCGAAAACAGTCTCCTAAGCAACTAATTAAATACATTAAAATACAAATACAAACTACATTAAACGAGAAAGGCCTATTCTAAAAACAGATGCGAACAGGCGCCTTGTTCACACCCATTAGAAGAATATGCCTTCAAATGTTACAAAATGTCTAACTAGAAATAATTAACCTAACGAAGTATCGATACTCTCTCGCAATACGATATTTAACTACGATTATGAGAAAGAGGGTTCTATGGAGAAGGGTAGTGTCTTAAGCAGTCCTAGATCGATTACCTTATGGTTTAATTGACTAAAATGAGCTACATAAAATGGAGGGGATGCTTAATAGTCTATTTAAAAGCTAAAAATCTTGGATTCGAAGAGGGGTTTTATATTCTCTAATCGACTTAGCTAAGAGGGTGCGGGAGGTGGATACATGCAAAGATACAATGACTGAAATTACCTGTAGGGTACGGGTACATATGCAAGATGGAAATTTCTTTACCTGGAAACTCGATTCGAATCCTATCCTTCATAATGCGAAACTAATATGTCATAAATTGTCTCTTAGCTTCTTCAAATCGAAATCTTGATTATCATAATATATGTGGCAATGTTCCTTCGGGTCACCTCTTGTAGCAAAAATCTTGGTTTTGGGTGCGAGCGAAATTAGCGAGAAAGTACCGATTGCAAATTACAAACTAACAACAAAGTCTTTTCAATAAAAGTCCAATATCTCGATAAAGTGTTCTTGTATCTTCCAATCTTCACAATAAATTCAGCTTCACCAATATGACTGCCTTCAAATCTTGCTGCGGTCTGCAAAAAATAAACAAGAAGCCAGCAAAATCGAAGAAGAATCGTTCATGAAGCAATAAATTAAAACTACAAGATCCGAAATCCATGCACGTGGTAAAAGTTAGTCTTAGATATCCTTGTTTACTTTCTCAGCGACGGAATCATCCAAGCCTATAATCATTACACTTTGCATTCTATTCACACTGCATAAAAAAGAATGCCATTTCTCGTGCAATCATGTTTGTGTTTTTCTCAAGAGACCTACTGTCTCCATGCAAGTCAAGTTCTACCTTTGGTGAGAAACAACACTTTTTGATTTTCGATCATTTTTGTTTTACGTTAAAATGGATTAGATTTAAAAAACACCCCTCCCATAATTTCCATTTTGCGCCTGAAATTTCATCATCTTTCTTTAGCCTATTTATGCTATGAAAGCAGTGGGATCTAGATTTTTCACTTTTTTCTCGGGAAATGAGTATCCGCACTAATACAATATTCGTTTGTCACCAAAAGGCATGAGTACATGAACAAAAAAATCAAAACTATGTGATAGACCATAAGATTGGCGTAAACTTGCCTTTCCTTTTAAAAGACATTAAAGATACATTTTGGGTCAATTTTTAAAGCTGGTACTTTGACATCTATGATCGTTTTTTCTCAAAAATTGCACGTTTTAGCAATTGATTTTGATTTAGTGCTTGCAGTAAAACATTCTCCACGGTACTGGGTCGCCTCTTCAACACCAAATCAACCAATTTATCAATCACAACGACCACCAAACCACCATACCAACACAATCATATCATCGAACAACTCAGAACCTCAAACCAATGGCCAGCAAATGGAGACTGAAATATCTGCAAGCACTTTGAAATGCCTATTTTTTTGTGGTTATACTTAAATTTAACCCTAAGACGTTGTGCTAGGGGATAAATAAACAGCTAATTTTTTATGTAAGTTCAATAGCCACGTACGAAATACAAAATGAAGTATTATGAAAACCTACCCTTAGACCCTTCAGTTTGAAAATAGACACACTATGCTTTCCCTGTTGCTTTCGTGTATATGTTTTGCTTAATGGCTTTTTATTTGATGGACAAATGAAGACTAAATTTTGTAAGAGATATCTTCCATTTTGCAGAAATTTTTTCAAGATATAAAAATTGCATATAAAATGGTTCGATATGTCTTAAAAATAATTGTTTGAAACTTAATAAATTTTTCCTAAGAAACACCAGAAATGTTCAGTTTAAGATGCTATTTTGAATATCAGTTGCAAAATTGCGAAAGTCTGTGAGATTTGTAGCTTTAGCATTCTTTATCTTGCAAAATCTTAAGTTCATCTTTGCGCTCCCGAAAAATATCACAGCTATTTCACGCTAGTTACCTATCCATGCTTGGTTTCCACGCCATGTTACCGTTATTGATTGCTTAAAATTAGTTCTACCTTTATTTATCATCATTCTTGAGAGAAAATTGTATAAAAAGCAATTAGAAATAATGTTTCGGCCGTTATAAAAGATATCAGATTTTTGCCAGAAGTTCAATGTCTCTGTAGGATATTGAAATAGAATTTTCATGAGAATAGCTTACCATTTTTGGTGCCAAATTGTTTTGTAACTGCATTCTGCATAAGCTAGTATCAAACAAACCAACACCATTCTCTAAAAAATAATAATTCAAGTGATTATTTTGCTTCTGGCTTGCAAAGGGGCTAAAATGGCAAATACAAGTTGACTCTACAAACTAAAAGTGGAAATAACCCATTTGACAATAACAGAATATACAAAGCAGTGTTCGTCTCATTCTAACGGAACATAATCAATCTAAAAGGCAACGAAAAGTTCAAAATCATCCTTGAAAAATAATCATCAATTGAAACAAAATACACGGAAATGACCAAGAGCTGGGGCTGGAATATGAAAAATAGGTTGCGGTATCTCAAATCGAAAATAAACCTAGGCTTTTGTAGGGGACAAAACTAAAATAAAAATGATATTTAATAATCTAAGTTGACAACGAATTTTATAGAAGCCAATACAATCCTGAAAACTTTATATATGAATGCATGAAATATTTTCAAACAAACTAAAGGAAAATTCACAATATCTAGGTAACTATTGGTAGAAGAAATATTTTTTCATACACGATAAGAAATATCATGATGATATTATTAAGAAAATTTCATTTGACAAAGAAAAGAACTAAATTCGATATCAAAATACATATATCCTTGTAGCTTTTAAGTATCATTGCTTTTCTTTATCTTTCTTAGTGACTGGGGGTTAGTTTGGAAGAAAAGCAAAGTAAGCAATGGTGTTTTTAGTCTAAAATTTTATCAAATAAAATAAATCAAGTTGAAAAGCAAGAGATGTGAAAGACCATGCAAAATCAAAGCAAAAAGCAAACTATTGTTCTACAAGAAATAAATCATAAACAGAACAGATGATCTAAACACCTCAGGAAGATGAAAAGAAGAGAAACAAACACTGGAATGGTTAAAAAAGGATTTAGGTGTAGCTTTCAGCTCAAATTCTATTTTGATGGACCCTGGTAATATGAAATGAAATGTTAAATAACAGAGCAAAAATAAAAGGAATTGCAACCACGTTTGCTTTTTCCTTTATTAATCGAGAAGTTTTACATAATTCGCTAAAGATATTTAGAACAGTGAAAAAAAATAATTTCAACTTACCACAACAACCAAAGTTTCTTTCTGTTATGGGTCTTGATTCAATCATCTGTGAATTTAATCCAGTCTATTTAAAGCAAGCTAAAGTAAAAAGTTGAACTGAAAACCCCAGCTCTCAAAATATTAAAAAAGGCCAAAAAAGCCAAAAAACTGCAAAAATCATAGCCACACCTGAAATAAAAAGAAACAAATTAGTATTCTGAGATGAAGATATAATGAAAAAATGTGAAACTTTCAAAGATGACTGATTTTTAATTTCTAACTGCAATGCAGCTACGTTTGTTTGTTACTTAATGAATCAAGATATTTTGCATTCAGATTACGGTGCAACTACAGGATTATGCAGTATCTATGATTCCATTTTCTTCTGAGCGCCTCTTCAATATGTCTATTGAAAACCAGGTTTTGATGAAGTATTTTCATATACAGAACCCTTCCAATTAACGTCTTAGGTTAAGTGGAAATCATATTTGGATCGTATCGCTACTTGCCTGTTTCTTGAGAATTTCGAGACACTTGATTCTTGCACTCTACAAAGTTAACAAAAAAGGCTTATTAGAAAGGAGTGCTACCAAAATCTCTCCTTTTGGAAAAAGAAACTTTCTTTCATTTTGTGAATTATACAAAACCTTTAAAGAAAGAATAAGCATCTTGGCAAATTCAGTTTTGAAAAGTGAATTCCAATAAAGGCCTTTTATTGTTTATATTTCACAAAAAAAACTTCATAGATGCTGATGAAATCATTACAATAAGATTGCACAAGATTTGTGATAAAAATAAAATATCGAAACCTGATACGAAATGAAATACGTAAGGTCCTAGACGATTCAAGTTCAGTTAGGCAACGTATATTTGCTTGCAAATCGCCTTTTCTGGACATACTACTTGATTTATAGTAATAAACAGACACGTTGCCTTCCAAAGAACTTCCAAAAAAGACATGTATTGCACGTCAACAGCCACTTTATACATAAATCTTCTAGAAATTATTTTCTAGTTTCATTTAAAGCAAAATCATGAATGATATTTTGATTGGTATCCTTTTACTTCTCCCATTACTTATTCTTAATAATGTCATCCATGACGCTAGCATACTGGCATATTTGTAACTTGAAGTCTTAACAACCATCTATTTTACAGAACCGATCAAATAATGAATTTAGACGAGATGCTTCTGATCGATTAATAGTCTTGGGTAAAAAAAGACTCACCAAAAATCTTCCTTGTCAACAAACTGACTGACTTATAAGGTGACACTTAGCATTTCTCAAAATTTTTCCTATGGTATGAAGAAAGTATTTATAGAAAAATGTCAATCGATTTGCGTCATGAAGTTGCAAAATGTTATTGCATAAAAAGCTTGATATTGATGCCGAAAGTCTAGTTCGATACGAAATCTATGAACGGTAAAAATAACATAGTTTCAACTTACCACAACAACCAAAGTTTATTTCTGTTATTTGTCCTGCTTCAATCATCTGTGAATTTAATCCAGTCTAATTAAAGCAGTCTAAAGTAAAAAATTAGACTGAAAACCCCAGCTCTCAAAATATTAAAAAAAGGCCAAAAAGCCAAAAAATTGCAAAAATCATAGCCATACCTGAAATAAAAAGAAACAAATTAGTATTCTGAGATAAAGATATAATGGAAAAATGTAAAACTTTTAAAGATGACTGATTTTTAATTTCTAAATGCAAGATCAGCTGTTTAAATGCTATGTAAACATTTTTACTTGTCAAGTTTGAATTCGTTTTCCCCTTGCTGAACTTGTTACTATAAAACAATACTAACAATTTCAAGATTTTTTTAAAATCTCGTCAAAATACTGATCTCCTGTGCAGTTAATGTATTAACACCAATGCTTTGCGGAATTCAACATATTTATAATACCTAGAAATTCATCTCTTTGCTAAAAAGTAAACAAAAGTCAACTATCTTAAACTTTCCCAATGTTAGCCCCCTTTCTTTTTGGCAAAAAATTAGTAAACAATGAAGCAGTATTTTGTGTTTAAAAGCTTAAATAATGAAACGCCTTTTTCCAATTAAATATCCGGTAAAATTCTCAAGAAATGTGCGAAAAGAGCTTCTAGTGGAACGCAAAAAGCAAAATTCTCAATTTAACATTTGTTTTGTTTGCATTTGACACCTTCAGAAAACAAGGCTACAAAGATTTTTATAAAGTCGATTTAAATGATCAACTTGCATTACATCCTTTTGCAATGAAGACAATTTTTAATTTAAAACCTTGAATCACTAAAGATATTCACCACAACCACTTCCCGGTTCTCACAGCCGCAAAACTACAAAGCATCAAAAACCAAACCTCGCTCCGCCAAAAACCAAAACCGCCTAAAACCAACTTTAGTGATTTCAAGGATTCTAAAATTTTTTTTAAACGCTTTGAATGAGACGATATAAAAAATATTTGAGCATTTTAGTGTTTTTAAGAACATATTTATTGTTTTTGATCAAGAGGCTGGTTCCTTTTTTAAAAAAGAACAAAATTTCATTATATTTGACTAAGTTGCATTTTTCAAAGTAGAAGAATTCAAGCCTCCATATAAATTTAACGAGGATTTCATATTATGTTGTATATTTTTAAAGCCTCTCCTTTTTCAATTAGAAACGGAGACATATTTTTGAAGATTCGAAAGAGCTGGTGTACGCTTTAAAAAATTTGTAATTTTCTTGCTTTCAATTTGTTAATCTAGATGTGTAGCTAAATTCCCTTAAGCAAATTGCAGTTACCTAGTTAACTACCCAGATAAGCAAGACCTTCTGCATTAAAATGATGATACTGGGTTATTCATCTTTGACATTCTCTTTGCCTCAAAGTGACTCGTAAAAATACTTCTTAAGAAGATGCTTTAAATAAATCCATTAAAAATCAAACGTCCTGTCTTATGATTATCAAAGTTCTAGACAAAAATATAAATTCAAAACCAACCTTTTCTCGTGAAATCCAAAACATCAGATCCGTGACATAGCATGGCTGACGCGAAAGTAAGTTACCAAATTTTTCTAGGAAAAAAGTCATCAACATTAGCTAGGCAGAAAAGTATTTTGGAAAAATTCAGAACGTTCACAAAAAACATTTTTGACTGAGTCTTAGACCAGAAAACATAAACAAAACCCTAGATTCGTTAGTTTATTGTCAGTTCTATTAGTTTTGTCACAGCAGGGAAGGAGTAACTGGTAAATAATCATTATGAAGATATCATATACGATTACAACATACCTCAAGAACTGCAGAGAAACAAGGATGAGTACTATAAAAGCTTGTCATTTTTTTGCTACTTAATTTACATGCCTTTTGCAATTACAACGAACAAACATATATAAACATGAAAAGAGTCACATATCAATTAAACATTGCGTGCAGTATTTTCCTTCCAGAATGTTTTCTATTTCTCTAAATCCTATATCATCTAAAACATTTTCAAAGGATATCCTGCAACCAACGATCTCAAAAAAAACTTACAGACCCAAATGCTAGCAGATTTGATTTTCAAAAAAAGATGTTTTATGCGTAATGCTCTAATTAAAAACTCACCGTTGATTTTGGTTCTCATTTAAAATGATGCATCAGTTACAACATATTCTACCAGCTTGCAAAACTAAAAAAAAGTTTGTGTTAATTTTAAGAAGAGCATTTTAACTGACCCAATCTATATCCTTCATCAAAAGGGTGGAAGAAGAAAGGAGTATATGGGGTCTATGCCTCCAAAAATATTAGATGGTTTTTCTTTTGGGCAGCAAACAAATGTCAGCATCCATATCAATAGTTGGCAGTCTCGTAAAACGCTATGAAGATTATAAACACTGGCTTCTGGCTCCACCACTGCACTTTTCGAATCCCTCTATATAAGGTTCAAAGGAGCAAAGAATAAAAGATCTAGAAGTGTAAAATAGAGTGCAAAACTCGATTTAAACTTACCAAAATAAGTCAGTTTTTGAAATATCGTTTGCTCCCATTTTACCAATGTAGTTATCATGAATGTAGCCCAGCCTATTTTATGCAAAACTAGATTAAGAAAATTATAAAAAATCCAGCTTTGTAAAAAATTAATGAGTTAACAGAAAGTCAAGATGACAGATAAATGCAGCCATACCTAAAAAAGAGGGAAATAAATTAGTAAATAGAAAATTTGAGATAAATGGGTTCAGAATTTTTGTGAAGTGCAAAGTTTGAGGCAAAAAACATGAAAAACTAAAGAATGCAAGAAGCAGCTTTGTCTTGTTCTGAAATTTGTCAGATTTATTGAAAAATGTGAGCAATTATTTGCTAGACTATGTAAGAAAGGGATTGTGTCCCCATCACACTATTACCAAAAGTTGAATTTCGTTTGATTTAGAATTTGATCACTGACCAAAGTGGTTTTATGACATTTATACATATCATAATTATCTAAAAATACAACAAGGTTTTATTGAATAAAGCAGGGCTGAAAGTAAGCAAGCTCCAAAGGTTTGTTTGTTAAATTCAAGTTTCTACACAGAAATAAGTTGAATTGATACATTCATGAACAATAAAGTGACATTATAGAAAGATGTTATGCCTCTCAGTGCAAACTTGAAAATTATATTTCAGTCACACATAATTTTGAAAATTTGCTAAGGAAAATTTTGGAAATGACTTTTATAACGCACACTGATTAAAAAAAAATCCAGTTTTTAAAATCGGCTACTTGAGGCATTTTACAGAGCTTGTTTTAAAATATTTCAAAAAAGGTTTTTCTTAAAAAATCAGCCTTGGGCATTTTGGGAAAATGTTACTGAAAACTTTCTTTTTTAAAATTCTGAACCCTTGAATCACTAAAGAAGTTTTTCGCCACCATCACATTCAGATCATTTACTAAAACCACAGAACTATAGAACCACAACACACCTCAAATCACCAAAACTTAACCACCATCCACCATAACCGAGCACCCAAAGCAACCAAAACCTCCACCAAAACTAAACCACCATCTACCAAAACTAAACCACCATCTAACATAGTACCCAAAGCCACCAAAACCTCCACAAAAACAATCTTAGTGAATTCAAGGGTTTTGAAATTTGTTTCAAATCAAAGCAATTAAAGAAATGTTTCGGGAAAAACATCCATCCATACTGATTGATATAGTGATTGCTATTAAATTTGAAAAATGATTTTGCTGTTTTTAAAGCTAAAAGAATCCAAGCTCACATGAATTCAGTCTTTGAAAATTTCATGAATTCAGTCTTTTTAAAGTGTTTTTCTTTGCCCTTTTTCAATCTTTTTTGCAAATTTTATTTTGATTTTCAATCTTCAATCTTTTGATTTTTGAAAGCAAGAAATGCATGTGAGATGCTTTCTAGAATTCTTTCAATTTCAATCATGTTTCTATTTAAATTTTTGCCTATTGTCTGTTCTTTGACCGTCTAAGAAAAATATTGTAAAATAGTTGAGTCTTCTACTTTGCAAAGTTTCAACTTAGTCAAATATAGTGAAATTTTGTTCTCTTTTAAAAAAAGAAACCAGCCTCATTGATAAAAAACAATAAGTATTTCATAAGATTTCATTGATTGTAGTTTTTAAATTCAGGAAATTTTAGCAAATCAAGTTTTGCAAGAAATTTTTATATATAACCTTTTGCAAGAAGTGCCTTTATTTCTTTCATGCTTATCAAAAGAAAAAACATGAGAACAAAAAGTAATATATCTTATGCATATGCCTTGTACAGGTTAAATGTTTTTTCTACTTAAAAACATTCTAGAAGGTATTTAAAAATTTTGTTTGATAAAAGTTTGCAGTTTTCCTTCTGGCCCAAGAATCTTTGTGATAGTTTGAAGAATTCTTAAAAAATTCTTGCAAATTCTGAATTTGTCCTTTTTCACCTGCATTCTTAATATCTGATTGTAAATAAATATTGAAGCTAAGCCCCTATTCCAGATCAATTTAGGTGTTCATAAATGACAAAAAAATTTCAGTCACCGAAATGATTTTTAAGTGGTAGTTAAATTGCCTAAACCCTTGTACTTTCATTTACAAAAAAAACTAACTGGTGACACATTCTTGCAGGAAAATTTATATATGATTTTGGTCCATTAACAGTAGCGTAAAACATTTTCAAGCTCTGGTTGATAACATAGTTGCTACTCTTCTATGTCAGTAATTGCTTATAAATACATACATATCATAGAATGTTATAAAAAAGCTTACCTTGATATTGACATATCTATGTTGAACATACAAATTGATGGCTTGCTATCCCATAAACTCAAACAGCAGTTTGCTAGAAATAAAGAATTAGAAAAATTAACTTATCTATCTTACAATACCAGTAACCATATCAATTTTCATGTGTTACTTAATACTTGCTGCAAAGCATGCTGATAATTTTTCATATCCAATTCTTTAAACATTATTTCTAACAACCAGTGTGTGAATAGACATTTGTAGCAACCATTGAATCAATAAATAGAATCCTCACGATGTTAGTAATGATGAAGTTGCTAATGCTTCATAAGAAGTAAAATATGAAATTAATTAAAAGCAGCTGAACAATTTTGATAGACATAAATATTAAGCAAATTTACTAGTCGTTCTCACCGATTTCTGGGTGGTAATTCACAACAAACTGCGCGTTTTCTTTTGAAATGGCTGTATCATGACAATTTTTACAGAATTCAAGATATCTGGCACTCCTGTCAAAAGGCTCTAAAAGAAAGAAATTGAAATTCTTTTATTAAACAGGTTGCATGTCACCAGGTCTTTTCTATGTGAATTATGCACCATTGTTTAAGAAAGAACTTTGCATACTGAGAGGCACAAAAATCACCTCGAGAGGATTCTACACTTTTTTGGGAACTTGTTTTCGCAGCTGAATACTATTGAAAACACACCAGAAGGTGCTCAAATAATCCATCTATGAAGAAATTTCTTTACTCCAAATATCCTTATTTAGGCCTAGTTTAAGATGAGAATAAATTTTAACTGGTGAAGCAGTGAGAAACATTCAGTTCTTGCTGTGGCCAAAGAGAATAAAGAAAACATAGTATTCAAGTATTAATAATAAAATGAAGCTATTTTTCACATCAAAAAAATGTGGTGAATCGTTCACATTTTCGTTTGAAACTCACCCCCACAATGGGCCTAAAACTCACTTCAGTGACACTACAGTACGGAACCACTTTCGAATGGCGAGCTTGAAGGGCAAAGGGCGAGCACATGTAGCACCAAAGTATTTATATGCCCAAATTTCACGAAAACTTGTGCATTGAGACAAGAAAACAATAGCACACGGCGTTCTGGGATTCAACAAAATGTCTCTTGAAAATTCTTTTGGGACAAGAAAACCCGCGCAAATTTGAAAAAAACAACCCGCGTGATCGATTTATTGATTTCGCCTTAATTCACCGCTACCACCTTCGCTGCTTTGCTCATGCATTGACTTTGATACTATGATTATGTTATTTGAGTATATACACGACCATTAAACATAGAAAATGACGGAAAAAGTTCCACTTCGATTGTTAGAGTTGTATAGTGGCATTGGAGGAATGCAATTTGCAATGAAAGGTAAGTATCTTTGGCTATGATACAACCAATGTGGAATTGATGATGAATCACGAACTTTTTTAGGCCATTTTTATTTGGGCTTCGTCTTCGAACAACTTCTAAACAAAAGGGAAAGATGAAATATCACTAATTATGGCTGATCATCTGATAAAGTAACGATAGTGATCTCAAGCTCTTTAAATTAGCCCTCCAGCAAAATGCTTTGTTAGGCCCCTGTTAACATGTATACTTGGGTTGGAAAAGTTACGTTGCAAGCATTCGGGAAAATCTTCCTAAGAACGAGAAAGTTATTGCGTAAAAATAATTTTTTAAGTCCTAAGTCCTAAGTCCAAATTCAACACTGTGATGCTCAGTTCAGCTTCTACAAGACGTAACAACAAAAACGAAGCATACGATAATACACTTACGAAGGTATACTTTAATGTTATTAACATTGTTTTTAACCCTCTAGCACAGATTTCTTATACCGAGCCATTTTAGTCCGAATGTCTAATCGAATGTCTAACTGAATGTCTAATCGAATGTCGTACGCTAAATAGCGGAACGCACACACGTAAGAGTGAAAATTTTTGGAGGCTGGATGAATACTGAAATTATGACGTATACCTAAACATTTTTGCATATTGCTCCAATGAAATATGATACTTGATTTTCAGGAGCTGATGTACCCTATTGCTTAGTTGCTGCTATGGAGTTAAATGATGTAGCTAACAAGGTATACAAACACAATTTTCCAGGTGACAATTTAATGCAAAAGAATATTGAGGTAAGACAGGTTTAGATTTTTGATGCTTTTCTATGGATGCAGTTTGCACCCTGTTGATTAGCCCATCCAGGCTCAATTTAGTTAAAAAGGCTACATTTTTTCTTTCAAACAGGGCCCTTATTGATAACAATACTCATAGTATTGACAAGGTTTTACCCTGTATAAATATTCCTCAAATTATTTTTATTCAAGAAATCTAAAATTTTCTTACCAACTCTGATGAAAAAATTGGATGACAAAAATCTCTTAAACTGGGAAGCTTGCCTGTGGAATAACCTTAAAAAGACCTTACCAGTCTAAGGGACACAGAGTTTCCCAGCAGGGCAAAGCAGGTTAATTGACTGCCAGTGTTTACATGTAGCCAGGAAACTTAATCAGGCATATGAACTTTCTGCAAAAGGTATGAAGAAATATACATCTGGTGGCATTCAAAGGTTGGAAACAAAAGTTTTACATCAGCCTGATGTCATTTCATCTGCAAGAAATTTGTGCTTTTTTGGCTTATTGAAAAGCAAGGAATGATATTTTCTTAAAAAGCCATTTGCTGAAAAGATATTCAGGATCATCAGAAAACTGAATATATAAGAACACCAGATTGTTGAGAAACTAACATTGCACATGGTTATATGTCAGGATCCCTAATATGTCACAAATATGTCAGACCAATTTTTCCTGATCAGACAGAAAACTCAGCAATTTGAGATTTTTCATAAGTTGGCTAGGAAACTCTGCTGGGCAAGATCCCACTTCTGTCTGCCAGGATCCCAGCTGGCTAGGTTTCCTGGCTGTCCATTTAAACAGTAAAGTGAGAAACTGTTGATTTCCTATACATGCTGGGAATCCCGGCTAGCCGGAAAACTTGGCACAAAGGAAGGGTATGGGATGATTACCCCCATCATATTTGTGTAAAAACATTGTCCATTTTTTCTAACTACTCAAATATTCACTGGGTAGCTCTACCCTGGTAGGTCATGTTTTTTCAATCTTAGTATATAGCAATAAAATGGGGCTAATTGGTTTGGTCCCATGGTTACACCCATTTCCTTCCCTTCCCATACTAGCTGGTGCTGCCACAGCTAGTTGCTAAAAGCTTTTGCAGTAGGATTTAAGAGGTGCAGCATTAAGATTGAGATTGATCTGTTTATAACGTAAGTGTCCTTTGCTTAATTCAGATAGACTCATTCTATTACTAAAAAAGTATATTCAATGCACTAATTCTAACATCAATTTGCTTTGTGCTTTTATATTACTCTTACTGTTAGCATGCTGCAAAAGAATCAACTTTGTTGCCCAGTTGCTACATAATCGTGGCTACATTTGTTCAATTTAGCTTATAACTTAATGTTTGTTGAATGTTTTTAGAGAATACATTTTGTCATAAATCTTGATGTTAAATAGTTCCGTGGGTTGCCAACTTTCTTAAATCTATTAAATCTGTTAAATTAGCTTCAACTAAAATATTTTACTTTTCAGGGTTTATCTGTGAAAGAAATGGAGATTTTGAATGCTGATATAATTCTGATGTCTCCTCCTTGTCAACCATTTACTAGGTAAAATAGGTAACCATCTTTCATTGTTGATTCTCAAAATTCGAATTCTCAAACTAGCAAACGTGCAACTTGTTCATTTTTGATTCACAGTGTCTTAACCTATCTTGACTTTAAGCTAAAAATATATAATTGCTGCTATTTCAAACTCTGGTTCAATAAAAGAGTATTTGCAGGTATTTCAATCAATTGTAATTACTAATTTCTAACTGCAATGACTTTTGATGTTGTTTTCTTACTTATGAACTACTTTTTATTTTCACCCATTGCTTATCAATTTAAGTTGACCTTCTTTTGCATTAGAATTGGCAATCAGAAGGCATCTGAAGATCCAAGAACAAAAAGTTTTCTTAACATTCTTCGGATCATAAAAAGGTAAAATCTAAGATTGATAAAAGAGTTCATATTGTTTCTTATTCACAGTTCTTGGTAGTTATATTTTGGTTTCAACGATCCCCTTTTCTTGTAGTTTGTGTGTCATAAATTAATCTAAATCCAAGAAAACCATTTCTTTTTTCAATGGATGCAAACTAGCTAATGTGTAAATGAAGGCTTTTTAACAACATTTGTTTAACTCAATGTGTTATTTGATTGTTTGACAAAAAGTTTTGGCACCCAGCTTTTCATTGATATTTGCCACTGTTATAAAGCCTACAACAATTTTTTGCTAGTACAATGTATTAATTAACGCCAGAATAATTGTTTATCAATATATACAGCATGCCAATAAGCTGTTGTCATTAATCTTCAGATTCAGCTGTAGGCTTTGGTGTTTTGTTGTCTGAAGTCTCCATATTTTCCCCCATGTTTCCCTCTGCAGTATGGCAAACCCACCAAAGTACATATTGTTGGAAAATGTCAAAGGATTTGAAACTTCTGAAACAAGGTTTGAAGTTTTTCATCTTATCATCTGTGTAATAAATTTTGAAAACAGCACTGAAAGGCAGAAACACATCATGCTTTTAAATTTTTCAATAGGGAAGATTTTTTGGATATGATGATTTTTAACAAAAAATATAACTGTTAATGAGCTTTGAAATTTGAAACTGAATGTTCTAAGTTGCTGAGAAGACATAGTCAAGACTTTTGTGGCTCATTTTCTAAAATACAGTAACTCTTAAGGGGTCTCTATAACTAGATTAGGCTGTAGCAAAGTCAGTTCAAACTTCTGTAGATAAAAAGTGATTAAGGATTTTGTATGAAGATCCACCATTATACTTCTGTAACCCAACACTAGGTTGCTTCACATTCCTTGTTATTATTAGGGGGGGGGGCAGGTAAAAAACAGGCTATCGAGGTCTCAAATAGCCACACTTCTACAGATAACATTTCCGGTACTGTTGAGAATTACTTACTTGAATACACTATGTTTGAATACCTTGAAGACCTTGAATAATTGAATAACTTGCTCGAATACCTAATAAAATTATTTGAATACCTTATGTTTTTTCATAGTTAATCAAGGACTCTTTTTTTCTAAAATGTAAACTATTCTTTAGTTATGTCTTGTGTTACTTTTTGTAACTTGAGGCTTTTCACATTGATCCACCCAGTCGACATTCTCTCTTTTTCTTTCTTAGGGAACAACTCCTTAGCGTTCTTATTTCGGTTGGCTATAATTATCAGGTTTGTGATGGGATTCAAACGCTATCAGTTTGCTTCTTCTAAATCCTCTCTTTCTTTAAGCTTCTTCTGTATACTATTTTAATAGTATAGATTTTTATAAAATCAATGATATTTTTTACGATATTTACATGTCGAGTAATAGCCAAAATTTAACTGGGATGTACTCTACATAATGCACATGAAACCATCTTGAAATCTTTTTACAGTATGGACTTTTATTGTACCTATTATGTAGGTTTTTTTGTTGATATTAGATATCAGTACGAAGAAGGCGTTTTAAAGAGAAGCAGACATGTCTTAGGGTTTTTAGTCAAAGCTTTAAAATGGCCAGATGTGTTAATTGATTTTTTGTATCCTTTTTTCAGGAATTTTTAATCTCGCCCTTGCAGGTAAAATTTTCATATCATAATTCATTCAATTGCTATGTTGCATTTTACTATACAATTTTTTTCTTATTGCTCAATGGGAAAATGTGCTAGATATCTTTAATGTGTAAACAAAGCAGCAACTGCACATCAAACAAAATTTTGAATGCTAAAATGCCTTTTATGAATTGTAAGAGGATTCGACCAATCAGGAATTATAGAGATTTGCGTGATGTTGTTTGAAAATTGCCTTGCTCATAAGGTTTCAAATATAACGATATCGAATCTTGATGGCTTAGAATGTTGGTCTTACGAAGTTACCGACTAACTCAATTTTGCAACTTTTTAGGCTAAATGTTTCTAAATTTAGGCTTAATTTTTAGTCTAAATTAAATTTGAGGTTTTAGGCTCACCCTAGGTGAAAACGATGACAGATGTTATCATATGCTGTTTTTAATTATGTTTCCGCGTTAATTTCTATTTTTATGGCTGTATCATCATTTATTTTATTTTCTTTTTATGTCCATTTGCATCAGTTTTTGTATTGGCCTAGTATTTGAGCTATCTGCTTGGCAATGGGTATTAACTTTGATCTAATAAACATGATATGTCATATATCTTCGATCAATGTTCATTGCTCACTCCAATTAAGCATATTCCTTGATTTTTAATGTTGTTGTTGATGACTGTGATAATTTTTGTTGCCGTTGTTGTTCATTTCAGTTTGGTGTTCCCAATTCAAGACTGCGATATTACTTGCTTGCTAAACTGAAACCATTAAATTTTCAATTTCCAACTAGTTCGGAGGTAATCTACTTCTTTAACAAAGATGAAAATAATTTATTTTCTAGGGCATGTTTCTTTTTCTAAAGATAGGATTGGCTTTTTGGCATTATGTTTGTTTGTTGTTCTAGGTATATGTTTTCCATCTTGTTCTTTTGGAACCTTATTCTGACGTTTTATACTCTGAGGAGTGTCAAACGTAAAAGCTTTGAAAGTATGCTGTAAAATGTTTGCTTTTTTCAAAGCCATATTTCCTGTTAATAAGACTGCTGAGGCAACATTCTTCGTTTTGATAACATTCTTGAAAACAATGAAACTGAGACGGAATTCGAGCATCGAACCCCCTTTTATTTCTTTTCAAGCATTCTCCTCTTGGCTTAGGCTGTATGATTGCCTCCATTTTACCTTTTTCGATCAGCTTAAATTTTTATCTTTCAGCCAATTGATCACATACCATATGTTTCACCCGAGAAGCAATCAGCTGATCATTGTGATGATGTTATTGTTGCAAGAGATTCGATACCGTATTCATGTTGCAGATGCGGGAGGCCTTGTCTCAAAGTAAATGGCCTAATCGACCCTTGTCCATTGTCAGAATACTTGGAAGCAACTGCGGATGATGAGGAGTTTTATCTTTCTGGTGATATCTTAGGGCGACTTGGTACAGTTCTAGGTATGCGTTATCAACATGTTCTATCAGCTTCGTTTTCCTACTGTCACTTCTTTGATCTAGCAGAATGTTTATAAAAAACAAGCACTAAAAATTAATTTTTACAGATTTATAAAAGGTGTTTAAAATTTTGTTGAAATTGGTATTTTGATCTGCATTACCAGTGACTTGTATAATGAATGTTGTCCCATTAAAGATCTCTAAGGATGTTATATTTAAGGCAATTATGTTCGAGGTGTTGATTTTTTTGGCACTTAAATGACCATAACGATGGCTGGCTTTGCCTATGGTGAAGTTTTTTTATTTCTCTGGGTATATATGGTATTCTACAATATCGATATCGTCATGTAGCCACTATTGTCATAGCCATCTTTTTTTTGTCTTTTCAGATATTGTCACTCCTTCGTCCAAAAGATCATGCTGCTTTACAAAAGCGTGAGCAAAGTTCTTGACATCTCTTCTTCTTGTTTTAATCTACCTGCTAAAAACGACCTATTTTTCAAAAATTTCCTTTGTAAGAATAGGTTTGGATATAACTGTTTTTGCCTGCGCCGAGCGAATTCATCAAAATTTCCATTTGTCTCTTTCTTGATCTCATCCCCATTTTGTGTTTCCTTTTTTCGAATATCCGTGCTGTTCTATATATCTTTTCGCATTTCTTTATCATCCTCTGAAATATGTGTTTTCATAGAGGTAGCACAGTTATCTTTCACGAGATTTTTCACGAAAAGTTTCTCCAAAACTTAATATAATGTTAAATGCTCCACTTTTTCTAAAATTTGGAAACCTCTTAAGGCCATGCTGCATGTACATCTAAATGGTGAAGTCCGAGTCGTTTTGATAACTGCGTATTGTCCTTAGAAAAAGTTTCAGCTTTCTAGTAAACCATACCTTGATATGTAATCAAAGCCACTTTGAGAAGTTTATAGAAATCTTTATGAGACACACCAGCCACTCGGGACCAACAAGAATTAGGGAAACTTGTTTAATATGACGGCCAATGATGAGTTTTATGGGGAAGTGTAATTTAGCACTAGTTGCTGACTATCTTCGCCAAGCTCTGAGGTCAGTAACTGTCTAGCTCGCTATTGCCTAGTCAATTGAATATTGTGTCTTTCGTTATATGTAGTATGTGTTTGACTATCTTCTATATTCTTTTATCTCTTTTCTTTTATGTTTCTTTGATTTACCTCATACTTACTTTGTTTTTTTTTAACAACCTCCTTGGCTCGTCTGATGATCAGCGATTTTCCTTATATGATCTTGGTTTCCGAGAAATGATTACCAGGTCCGAGAAAATGATAGACAAAGAGCCAAGGGAGTTATGTGCATGTCATCACTTTAACTTAATTGTATACTGCTGACTTTTTGCTGTTGATTTGTTTGATTATTTATTGTGCTATTCTCTCTTTGCAGTTCGTTCCTATTCTTGTTTTCTTTATACGATTCTTCTCTCTTTTTTGTGTGCACGAGTGTAGTAATGTGGTGAGTTATGTGTCTTGCGTCTGGTAATTGCGAGTTGATGGTCGGCCATGATGAACTGTATTCCTTGCTTTTAATTAGTTTAAGTATGAGGTGACCATTTGTGTCCCCATGATCAGCAAATACAGTCTGAGCCGTTACGTTTTTCTTGTCAAATTCTAACCCATATCAATGTCTCATCTCTTAGTGAAGTGTTTTTCACTCACTTACTTTCTTTATTATTGAACTTTTTTTTGCTTCTTACTTCTTGTTTCTTAATTGTTTTAATATTTTTAGCTCTCTTTTCTTTCGTTTTCTATTTCTTTGTCTTCCTTTCTACATATATTTCATTCTTTCCTTCTGTTCCCTTCATTTTCATCATCCATCCCCCCTATTATGCTCCTGTATTCTTTTACATATTTTTCTCTCTTTGAAATATTGTTGCGTCCATTATTGAGGTTTCGCCGTATTTTTATCTAGACCCTGCATCTTAAGGAACTGAAAAAGGTTTTTTCTTTCCAGCTATGGGACGTACGTCAAAGGAACTGGGTCAGTTATAACAACGATGAAAAGTGAAAGTGAGGTAGTTCTGCCAATTTCATAGCCGTAGTTTGATTTAGCTTGACCTAGGCCCTTGGTTTTTCATTAGAGATTCTAATGAGTAAAATCATTTTGACAACCTTAATGGAGATGTTGAGGCGAAGTCATAGGCTCGAGGGTTAAATCAGGTAGTCACGGTTTTTATCTAAAGTCATCAAGCCAAAAAATGCAAACTACATCAAGACATCATTGTACATCTAAACTCACAATTTTGTATGTGAATGACTTCAAAGCTAAGGAGTTTATATTTTCTTTTTTAGATTCAAGAGACATTCGAAAGTTTGAAAGACACAGTAGATGAACGTTTAAGAAGTGAACAATTATTAAATTTAAAACTTAGATATTTCTCTCCACAAGAAGTGGCCAATTTGATGTGCTTCCCTAGATATTTCAGTGAGTATTACAGTCTTGGTTATTGCTCGATTGAATATTTTTTAATTTTTCATAAAGATGCTATTTTGAAACCATGGTCAAACCAGGCTCGTAAGATTAAGCCTTGATAGGCATTTTCTTTTTGTCATCGTCACTTTGTCACTTTCTATGTGATTTGAAGTTGAATGATATCGTCAAACTAACAGACGAAGCCATCACTGTTTTATTGTCAGATATTTTTATTACTAGCAGTGAAGCCTCAAACAGCAAAGTATATCAATTCATGGGACTAATTCTTGCATGGCATCCTATCAAATTGTTACAATTGCTCTTGGTTGTAAGCGTTAAATAGTATAATGATAGTTATGTGTGTTATTTGAACGAAATTAAAAGTACAATGGTGCATTCATTTAAATTGCTATTCACTTAATAAATCGTGAAAGTCTTTCTTCCACTTTAACATCAATAAACAACTTTTTAATTTGCGATTCTATGGTAGCTCATGCTCTTATCGTGTCCATTTACTCACTAGGTTTCCCAGCAGCAACAACAACAAAACAGAAGTTCAAGCTCCTTGGCAACAGCATCAACGTGTTTGTCGTTTCACAACTCTTAAAGAACAGCTTGCTAACAGACTGTAGATAATGCCAGTTTCTGATTTCTATAGTTAGTTTTAGAGTTTAAATATCACATTTGAGTATCTTGGGATCTCTGCTCTTTTTTCAAGTTAGAATATTATCCATCAATGTGAATACAATAATGATGTCATATAATAAAGTTACGGTATCTTTGATTACTCAAGACAGTTCTAGGGTGCAAAATTTCTCTTACATGTGATCAGAAAGAATGTATCATTTTTACTGTGTTGAAACTAGCTCTAGAGTGTGTGAACTGATTTATGTGTTTATTGTTGTTCATTCTCGTCGAATTGCGGTGTTAGCGTCAGCTTAACCACCATCTACCAGAGCGAAAAGATGAATTTTTTCAATGATCACACTAAACATCTTGGAGTTTCAATAGTTTTCAATTAAAATAGTTGCTCTTTTTTACCAAAATTGTCAATCACCCAGTCAAACTCTGTCTGTTAAACTCTAGCAATGATCTCTTGTCCTCAAGATCAAAGCGAGGTTTGTTTAGATCGAGGTCATATTTAAGCGCGAAAATTTTGAAATAAAATTATCACGTAAGCAAAACACTCGTGTTTGGAATAATGAAGACAAATTCGAAGTAAATTCAGCCATGTTAAACACTACGAAGAAAATTGAATGTCACTGCTGAGAAGCTATGATGGTATCCTGTTTGTAAGTTCATTTAATGATTTACAACGAGTTAGCATTAAAGCATGTTTCTTCTTTTTCTTATAAGTATTGTTGGGACGCGGTCGATGAGAGATGAAAATGAGTTTATGGTTTAACTTGAGTTAGTATTGTGCAACATTTCAGAATTATAACTGAATCCTTGATTAAATTTGACAGCGGTTTAAGAGATTTGTATTAAGTTCGAAGAGCCATCAGTTATTAGATAGACGCCTTTAAAAGGCGAAGTACTTAAGTCTTTTCCTGGAAATCGGACATACTTTTCGAGAGCTAGGGAAGAAAAAATTCAGAAAAGCAACAGCTTGAGAATTCAAAAATCATCTCTAAAAGCAAACCCTTACTAATTTTTCAGAATTATTATGATATTCTAAGAAGTTATAACAATAGAACTTACATATATACAATTATGAAATGCACAATGAAAAGTATTATCGCTGTCTTTGCCAAATAGTTCGCTTGGTGTATCATTCTTAATGAAACTGTAACATGCTACAGTCATTTGAAAATTATCTCAGAACTCAAAACGTCAATTATTCTTTTTTGGTGAGACTGAAATAACTTGGTTGTAGAATATCAGCAATTTAGAGGGAAATTGTATCGCTTTTTATAAGAAAATCTAGCCAAGTTTTTCAAAAACGTTCAGATACATAACAAATATGTATGTTATTTGCCAAGACGATTCAGAAAATAAATTAAAACGAATAGTACTGATAAAATGCCCTATTATTTAGCTTTTCTAAAGCTGAGTACGTTTTCAAGCTTGGAAATAACTTTCAAGCAAATTTTAAACTGCACAGGTTTTAATAAATAGGTGCAGTGTTTGTTTTATATATCGCTCATGTGTGGGTACAGGCATTTGTTCAAGCAACCATCATTTAGCAAAGCCAGCGACATATCTCTTCATAAATAGGAAAACATGTTCTAAAAATGTGCAGAGTTATACACTACATACAATAAAACAAAGGGTGTCTTGGAACAACTCTTTCTGTTTTGGAACAACCTGCAGGATTTCCAAAAACACCCTTTCAGTTATTATTAAAAACAAAGAAAATATGTACATTTATATTCTATCAGTTTACAATGTCAAATCAATTTGATAAAAGAATTATTCCTCTATAGTATAATATTTCATTGATGTATTGTTGGTTTGTTTACACAAAAATAGAATTTAATGGGACTCGAACGAGTTAAAAAGGATTGTAGAATTTTCGTAATGATTACAGAAACAGCAGCAAAAACCGTGCAAACATGAAACAAAGCTTCTTCCAAGTAAAACAATCGACAATCAGATGCGACAGTTTTACAAAAATTAAACCTTGCGCAAGGAAAAAAGTAACATTTTGACTGAAATTTAAACTCAAGTTCGGAAGAAACATCGCAATTTTGGCAACTTGTTGCAATTTTATTGCTGAAGGAAATAAGAAATGCTTTTATGATTAACGATCGATTGTATTCGACATTGCATTTTTCATTTCAAACGATATCTTGTCGTTTTACATAGCTATTTACCTGAAAATGAATCAATCTTTTTGCAAGATTTGTGCAAGATTTGTAAAATTGCATTTCCTGAATCATTTTCAGTAAATAGTTAGACGACTAATGCTACTTAAAGAAAATTTCACTATGGAGTGCGTTAAGCTTCTAACAAAATACCTATACACATAGCTGTCGACGAATATCTTACAGACGAAATATACACAGCAAAGTACTGTCATATCTACAAAGTTAATATAAGATCCTGGACAAAATTTTTACAACTATAAAATATTGTTAAATCTATCAAAAATTGTAACAATGATAGTCGAATATATTATCATTTATTTCTGAATTTGAAATCGATAGTGACGTAAGCTTGTTTTCGAATGACGGGGACAGCTATATCGCCTCATCTTAATGTCCCAGGCTCACTGGATCAGGGGAGAGATTGGGGGGGGGAAGGGAAAGGGGAACCTCAGTTTACGTCCTAGTTCCAAACTAATACAAACGGTTTAGGTTATGTTCAGCATTTTCCTTGCAAAATTTTAAACAGGATACACAGAGAATATATTTCAAAACAGGCACTAAAATGTTTGGTCCCGTGGACAAATGACCTATTGCACCGATAACTGTAGATCGTGAAGTTCTCCCCGATAGTTATATTACTCAGGAGTCGCGAGTGAGTCATGGCTTTAAAAATGCCTTCAATTACAAGACGTCACATTTTATTCATAAATGCCTAGTGGTTAAAAGCTCGCTTTCCTAAAAAATCCTGTTTTCATAAAAACATCGCTTCCCCTCCTAGATAAAAATTTAAAAGCAGCCGGGCTTTAGTCACAAATCCAAGCATAAAGCGCACGCAAAGCTCATCGCGTCCTTCAACAAAGCTGCATGCCTAAGCGCAATGCCAAAGTGCAATGCCAAAGTGCAATGCCACAGCTCATTGCCAAAGCGCAGTACAAGGAGGCCAACCTACAAGCCAGCTATCGTGCTTTGCGCTGCCTGCGCGCTTGGTTGGAAGTAATACCCTTGTGTGGTTGACTCTAACTTCAAAGAACTGTCCAGCTCCACAGTTGAGACATCAGGCCTTGAATCATGGACATTATCAAAAAAATTTAGATTGTGCTCACTCGTGTTGGTAGACAGAAGGTCGTTCCAGAATTCTTCGGCGTGCACGTCATGGAATAAATCGCTTCCGAACAGCTCCTTCGCAGCATCAGCAGCTGCTAAATCAGCGTCTTCGTTGCTACTTGACTGCTGGGATTGGATTTGTGGCTCTGAGCTAAGCTGTGGCTCTAATTGGATATTTGTCACCTCGGGTACAGTGTGCTCTGGCGTGTTGTTGGTTGTGTCCATGGAGTCATCCATTGAATCACTAGAGATGCTTAGATCCTCTGTGAAAAACAGAATAAAACTACGTTAAATTTCGTTGTTGACAGTAGAATTTGAAAACGGTGTTTTAATCGCTCAAGACCTACAGTGAGATACAAATGAAGAAATAGTCTCGAATAGGCCAGTAATAAACCAATTCACCGTAAAACATCATTCATTTTGGGAAATGATTTTTGCCCAAAAGTTAGTTGTTCTCTTTCGAGCGCTAAGAAATCTTGCAATACATTGCGGCCATATGGTCTTGACACTAGGCACAGAACATTGGCATGAAAACATAATCAAATAACAGATACCAAAACTGTTAACTGCAGATAACTGCAAACCAAAACTGCGAAAAATAAAAGCATAAAACAGTTTCAAAATAATTTCTTTGGTTTGCTGATTTATGAACTGTAGTTCTGCTAAAATGAGTATAAGGATAGCAGTGCAGGAAGTAGTGTTTTTTCTGTTGTCTTTTACTGTTATTGTGCCTAATTGTTATGAGTCAAATAAAAAATGCAAAGATGCTTTTTTAACAGTATTTACCTGGATGGGCCATTGCAGCTTTGATCGCCTCCGGGTGCTTCTTTTTCCATTTCCGGATCTCTCTTTCCAAAGCTTCTTGCTTCTCCGGTCGCAGCGACCATAAACACCCTTTCCTCTGCGAAGTTCCGTCTGGTCTTTCTAGCTTGCAAAATGCCTTATTCAGTGATAGATTATGTCTAACAGAATTCTAGGAAAGACAATTAAAAAAGCTTACTATTTGTATTTTGCAGAAATCTTTAAGACGTACCTGTTAAAGAGTCTGAAATGCATAAGCCAACATTAACGATACATCATTCAGATAAATGCGTAGACATAAATAAACTGTCACACCAGAGCAAACTTGACCTAAGAAATCTCTATTGCTATTTCTAAGAAATTCTGAGAGTAATGCCTGCGAACTAGCCCGGGAAGATCCCTTGATTAAGATCTTAATGCAGAAAGACATCATCTCTACAACAATAAGAATACAAGTATTCTAAAATGGGAGCCTGGGAAAAGAATCCCTTTTGCTTCGTCTCAGACCATATATAGATGATGTATGTGAACAACGACGGACTAGTTACAGACTGTAAAATATGTCGTTTGCCAGACAGGCGGAGTTAGTAGATAGAATACAGTAATTGTTCTCTGTCGGACGAGATGACGTGGAAAACTAGACCCAGGCTTCAGTCATGCTGTCCGTACCGACGGATTCTAATCATATCAGCATGGTTTAAATATCAACGCCCTAAAGAATAATATACAGGAGATAAAAAGTAGTGCCGTTCAAACAACTGGTCTCTTAACAATAGGTTGCAAAATCAACAATAAACCCCCTGATGAAAGGAAATAGTTGATTCCTTGAACACGTGGTAACAGGTGCATCGAATTCATTTAGACGTCACGCACGTGATTTGACAATGTCACTCGTTAAAGTTTAATAACTATCTCAAAGACTTTATATAAGAAAACCGCTAGTTATGATAATCCGCTTTACGATATATGTCTATCTCCCTTATGATAGAAATTATTATGCATTCTATTTACATTATAACGCATCTTTATAGTCAACAAGTCAAGAGACTTTCCTAGATATTGTTAAAACAACTTATCACCATAGCAACTAGGCAGCATGAGGTCAGGGCCGCGATAGCTGCCAAGGTAAAATTGCTGATGATTTCAAAATGGTGCAGCGTTGTTGTGAAAATTAAATCTTGGGGATGAACAATTTGAGGAAAATATCGATAACCATACACAGCAAAATCCCCCTAATATTGAGTTATGGAATCTTGCAAAGAAGATAGCGAATTTGTATTCCCTTTGTAACAACAGCATGATAGGAACATGTTTAAGTTAACAAACGAAGATAACGTCTCAGTTCAAATTCGTTCTTTGTTTTTTGAGACATAATAGACAACAAAGATACAACATTATTATATGTGAGTCGTCAAACTCGCAGTCGGAAGAAATTTGAAATACGCTTCTCTTGCCCTTCACACCCCGTTTCATTATCCCGATCAAATACGGAGCCCTGGCGGCACAATTCGTTCGCTTTCTTAGCAGGGTCAAAACTGTTCAGCATAGCAGAGCAAAATCCTCTCGGTTCTACACTGCTTGTGTAAAAAGGAAAGGGCGAACCGCGACAGTTTTGTAACGGTTCCAAACTTGCACGGAACAGTGTTAACGGTGCACTAGTTGTGAACTTTTATTCAATTATTGCATATGGATATCATGCAATGTCGTTTCAATAGCCACGCGCAGGAAATTAAATGATCATAAACGACATAGCGACTCCTACAGAGCCAAAAAAGGTCACTTAATTAACACGATTGTCTTCATCGGTTGATTCCCAATGTGGTCTACAATCAAGACATGACTCTTGAGGTTACGACCACGATATTTAAATATTTATCGAGGTCAAAAATTCCTTCGCTAGGAATTGAGAATCAGCACACTCTTGTCAGAAACTGCATATTTGGTAGAATCGTTTTACACAGTACTAAAGCAAAATGTATTTGCTTGTTGGACAAAAACATAGGTTGGGATGATACTGAAATTAATTTTTTTGCTGACACTGATATCAAATATTGTAAGAGTGTGTTGCTTAAGTTAAAAGGTTCACAACCCAGATGAGAAGCTTGACATTTTAACCAAACTGAGACAACAAAACCATTCTTATAAACTTCAACTTCAATATAAAACTAGCAAGTTTATGAAATTTCAATGCTTGCATCATAACACTTTTATTTTCACTAAGCCATTAAATATGCATTGAAATAATGAATCAAGTTTCAAATGATACTTAATATATAGTTCAAACTTAATTTATGCTGAAAATTTAAAAAGAAATCTCTCTGCCTAAGTTACATTGGTTTTCTGTTTATTTTCTTGCTGAATACCCTATGTGCATTAATACCTGCTAGAAGATGCTTCCCATTCAAACCTTGCTGAATCATAGGTGACTTATGTTGTTGTGAAAAATGACTAATCCTTGCCAATAAAAGAAAGTGACACATTCCTCAAAATCATTGTCATACTTTGAAGCTATGCTTAGCTTTAATAAAAGTATTTTTCTAGATGATGGATGACTCAATGCAATTGTCAATATATTGATATGAATAATTCCATGAATAATTTAGCACACCAGAGAAATGCTTGAACATTACAGTGCTCATTTATCATGCAAAAGATGAGTATGGAGGGAAATAACATCAATGCCCAATTCTTAATTTTTTTCAAGAAAATTCTAAGCAAACAGACCAAATAATGTTTCAAAATATCACATATTTACCAAAACAAGTTCTAGGATAAGCCTGTTTTGAGAAATTTGTTCCTGAGTCCCTTCTCTTGATGTCTCAAAATGTATTTTTTGTATCTGCCACCAAGTTTTCTAGTTTTCATGAGACTGTTATTGACAACAGAGGTTGTTTGTTCCCATTACACAGGCTATCTTCTTTAATTTTTATCATGCTTTGAAGGTGATAACTCAACAAGTAACCTTGCATTTAGCTAACTGTCCCTCTTTCATGCATCAAACAACCAATCAATGCATAAAGCATGAAACTTGTTTGCAACTTAGAGCCTTCCTGTTCTATATAGCAAGCCTGGCTTCATTTGTCCTCGAAAACTTATGGAAAACCAAAAGAATATTCTTGCAACTAAGAAAATTACAGAAAACCTTTGCATTGTGAATTCCAAGACAAGGTCAGAAATAATCAAAAGCCTTTGAACCAAGACTCCTTTACTTATTTAGGAAAAGGGTAGGGCTAGAGCTCCCTGTTTTCTTTAGAAGCAATGAAAAATGTTCTCGGAATTCACTGATTGTTGTTTTCTGGGATGCTATTTGAAATGTTTACACAATGAATAAGTTTTCCCCCAATACTCTTAATGTAGTAGCTTTTCTATTTTCATTTAAAGATGAGTTGCTTTGCAAAATATAAATTAAATGCTTCATACCTTCCAACCATCAGGAGCAGTTTTGAAGTATGGAAACTTTCCTCTGTTGATATAAAAAAGTTCTTATAAAATGGGAATTAATTTATTATTTTTAAAATATGAAAAATCATTAGCTATATTGCAGTTGTTAAAATGGCAAGCAAGAAACAAAATTTTATCAAATGAGGGGAAACTCTAAAAATAATGTTTGGGGCAGAATTTGAATAACTTCTGAATAAATAACCAGTTTTAGGACTTTTGGTAATTCTAGGTTTTTTAGTCTCTCTTTAAAGGCGAAATAAATTCTTAAAATTTGCTTGAAAAATTATGACATAGTAACTCAAACAAAGCCTTATATCCCATTCAAAATTCTCTCTTAATATATATTTAAAAATTTTGTTATCATAGCACATATTTACACGAGTTGAACTGTTGGAAGCTGGCTGATTTTCAAAAAATCTTTTAAATTTTTCGATTGCGACATGTGCTGGAATTTCAAAAGTGTGTATTTAGATCAAATTTAAGAGATTGATAAAAAATACCCACTGCATATACTTGTAGATTTCGCTGACTGGTAGACTTCCAGAATCACTGTTATTTAAGGCCATTGCAATGAGGCAAGAGTAACTAAAAACTGGCTTAGGGTATGTTTTCTGTTCTGGATTTCCGTTCTCTTTTCCAGGTTTGATTTGCAATTTAGGTGAAGTCAGGCCAGTCACATCGTGCAAAGTAAGATCAGCTCTAGGATATATAGGATGATGCATCGCCATCTGCATAGGCCGGGTTGTATACTGTACTGGCAAATTGGTGTTCGGATCAACCATCAACTGCACAGTCCTACTTCCAGTGTGATCAACAGGCAAAGATGTATTCTGCAGCCATTGCAATCCATTTAGATCTTTCGTACTTGCGTTATCCGATTTCATTTTCATCGCTGTTCTGTTTTGGTCCATGAGCACTGCATCCTGAGTGAGCATTTCTCCATAATTGAAATTCGCGCTAAAATTGTTATAATTCAACTCGTAGTCAACTTCCTGTGCGGTCAAAGTATCTAATTCGTAAATGTTGTTTTGGTATGGGCTAAACATGGTGTGGTGTTCGTCGGTGCAGTAGGTTTATAAGAATGTTTTTTCTGTGATCCTTGTGGTTAATTTTTGTGCTGCATTTGTTTGCAGTGCAGCAAGTTTTCAGCTGGATGGAACGTTGATCGTCACGCTTGAGTAATCGCACAAAAGCACATGAATAAGAACGATTTCGAATTGCCGAGCTCTTATTGGCTGGTTCTAATTAAGAAAACTACCTCATTGGACAAACCGTTTCCATGCCGATCCGAATAAGGTCATCGACCTGCTAAGATCCTATGCTCAATGTAGCAAAACTTCGAAAAATCTTGCGTTTTTAAGCATTAAATAACATAAAATAAACATAGAAAGCCAATGAACAGACTCCTAAATCTATCCACAAGTTCTGCAAAAGCAACTGATAAACTTAGAGCTTTGAATTGCTGAAATGTGGATGTTAATTTGGGCGATTTCTCGACAAAGCCCCTTGTTTCTCAGCTCCTGTATTCCACAACCAGTGGCACCTGCCGACATCTCGACCACCTGTCGCTCCCCGGGCATAGATCCCTGGACTTCGTAAAATTTGTTTGCAAGTTTATCATTGCCAAAAAGTTAAAAGTTACAGAGTAAAATACACTACTGGGTGGTTTTTAACATCTTCTTCAGACAGAGGTTTTTTTTACTTTTTTTCAAGTTTTTTAGGGGTCCAATTTCCGTAAAACTTCACGCTTTTCCCAGCTGTTAGTTGCCATCTTTTCCCATTACGCCTGTTCTATTTCCGTGCCACTAGCATTGCATGCATTGTTTTTCGAATGACGTTAGTGCTCAGAAAAGGGTTCATTGCCTTCTGCATTTCACGTCTCTGATTACGTAAAGAGCAAAAGTTCGATTTCATACCGAAAGTTGTTTCGGAACTCCACGTGCATTATTCGAATGCAGAGAAAGGATGATTTGCACGGCAAGCACGTAAATAATAGGAGGCGTGGGGGCGTGACACCCCCCAAAGGTTGCAGTGCATCGTTTGTTTCCTTTTTGAGAGGGGTTAAGTTAAATTAAATTATTTTGAATAGGCAAGGTGAATTTCTGAATAGGAAGTTCAAATTCTACCATCAGTATTGATTGAGCCTGAAGTTTTGAAAAATCATTCCCTGTATTGATCAGAACAATTGAAAGTGGGAATTTTTTAAGAAACAACGAGTAGCCAATTCAATCAAAAACATTAAAATCTTTCATTGCTAGAAATTCTCAACGCTTATTAACGGGTCTATGCTAAGCTCCCCCGCACTTTGTAGACCTCCTTGAATCTTATCAAAAATTGCTATGATAATACTAATGAGAAGCCACAAAAAATTGATCCAAGAAACTGCAGCAGAAGTATTTGATCAAAGAAGAGTGTTTTATCTTACGAACTGGGCATATGCACTTGCCCTCAGATCACCCTTTTCAGTTCCAAAAAACAAAGGACATTGAGCCCTTTCAAAATTGCAAAAACTTTCCTTCGATCAAGAACAAAAGATAAAAAAGTCAATTCCTTGATGCTTCTATATTGTTAAAAAGATATTTTATATAAAACTGATCTGCAGCAAATAGCTTAAAGATGGGCAAAGCAGAAAATGAACAGAATTGCTGTTAATTGTCTTGAAAGAATACTACTTTTTATCATCAAACATATCCAAGATCTAGAATGGTATGATGTTGCTTTATATCTTACGAAAAGATTAAATGTTTCTGTTACGTTAATCAAAATTTAGAGATTTCCTTTATCTTCTTTAGTGTTTTTATGCCTAAGACTAATTATTATAAGTAAAATGTTGGTAATTATACAGAACCTAAAAATCTGGCAGATTAACAGGTCGAAAGAAAAAATTCATTAGGTAAAGTTGGAATTTTCAACCTTCCACGACCCCCCAAAGCTAGCCACTTGTTTATGTCCCTGTTGCACGAAATGCAATATCGCTAGCCATCATCCACAAAAAGTGACCCGTCCTTTTAGAAGAACCTTGAACAAATATCATTTTCTATTATCATTCAGCACAGCAACACTCTGCCCCAACAATGCTGATATTGAATTTTCTCCTTCAATACGGCTTTATATAACAAAAAATATGTACTTATTCTTCGTACATAACAAGAAACTTTTTCGAAAATCTTTACTTCACACCGCTGATTTTATTTTGACTTGAAAAATATAGTATGAAGACAAATTACCGATGTTGGATAACTATTTGACTGTTGTTCCCTTACGTTTCAAAGTGCAGCTAGAAATTTCTATCCTAATTTGTTTTTGGGGTTGAAAATACCTTGAAGAGTTTGTTATGATATGGGAAATCTTATATTATAAATCAAATTTGGTGAATTTTTTGAATAGATGGCTCTATAAAATTGCCACCAATTTCCTTCATATGATTGGCTTAGTATTAAAACTGAATAAATCACTTGAAATGGTTAAATGTGTAATTCTTTTCAAATTGGAGACGACACGCTGCGGAAAAAAAGGTTGGCATTTTCTAGCCACCATTGAATGATAGCAAAAGGGTTCTGTTTTACCCCCTTGTCAACGTAGCCCTTCATAAATCAAGCTAGCAATATATCTCTTATTTTACTAATTATGCATCATCTGTAAAGTATTTTTGACCTAGGAATATTCGTGGTACACTCTTTTGCTACCTCATTCGTATGTACTACTTCTACAGGCACAATTCACAGCCGCCACGAACAACTGTGCATGTGCTGCATAACCTTGTCAAAGTCAAACATTTATTAATAATAGCAGGTTCATCTTAAAAAAGTTTCTTCTCTAGAATGGCAATTCAGTGATGTTTATAACGTTAAATGGACAGCTGAATGGCTGGAATCTCTTTATAACGTATGCAGACCTGGCTGCTCACTTTGAGTTCATAGCGTCTATTGCAGGTTTGTTCCAACACACGAGGCCTCTTCCTGCGTTCATTGACTGTACCCTGCTCTTTTCTGAGCCCGATTCTGCAACAGCTGCTCTTCTTGTTTGTTAATTACATCAATGAACTATCTGCATTTTGGTTAAACAATTAAGCATCGCTTGTTCATTTTGTTATTGACAAGTAAAATCATCAGACGACCATGTACCATTCTGACCATGCTCTTATCCATGCATGTTCGACGTTAGCATCCATTGAAAATTCTCAGATTCAGAACGTAATTATGGCCACTCCAAAGGCCATTCGATCATTCCCTATAGGAGTGATTCCTATTAAAGTTGAGAAATGTATCAGGCCGTTAAGTGTTAATCATTAGACAGCAAAGACCTACTAGCTTTCAATCAAAAAGGAATTCACCAGAAAATGCACAAAATTCTGTTCAAAATTAAAGGTTGGGCAGAGTTATCTAGATTCTGTGATTAAGTGAAGTTTTAGCAAAACAGGGCCTTTTAAAAGTACTTTTGCCCCCAACCCAAATGATATTCTGCTGCTAAATAAAATGTTTCACTTTCACCCTTTTCATAAGTGTAGAGACTTGATCCTCCTGATAAAGTCCTTAAAACTGTTGTGCTTGAAATCATCAACAAAATTTTACTTTTTGGGAGACACACATGGCATCCATTTTCTGGACTTTGCAATCTGTTTCTTTGCATTTAATGCTAATAATAAGAGCTATTACTCCTCAACGTGATTACTATCTTATCAAACCTCGATATTAACCCAATTACTATACAAAAACGTAAGTTACAACAAAAAGTAACAGGAATAGATTCTATATATTCAATGACATGTTGTCTTTGAATTTTCCCAAAGTATAAATATTCCGTGAATTCCTTCAAAAATAGCACCTGTTGGCTCAGAATGTGATGCTTAAACTCTTTCTCCGCTAAAAAAGCAATTCAATTTTTTCTGAAAAAGACTGTTATTCTTGCCAGGACCATTGGAAGAGGGGTTGGGGAGACTGCAGCTTCCCATCAATTTCAAATGTGTTCTGCTTTCTTCTTAACAGTTACAGGTAGCTGCATGGGCAGAGCCCCACCTTATGAATATCGATCAAACAGCAATGACACTTTCTGCTCAAATCTTTTTTATCAACATTCGAGTTCATGTATCAAATACTTGAAGGAATTTTTGTGCATAAAAGGTCTGACTTGATCATAAGTTGGCTAACCTTGCTAGCTTGGCTTAAACAATCACATTTGAAGTAACGTGGATGAATTTAACTTCATTATTTATGCGATCTTTTCAAATGCTCCTCGACTATTTTAGCAAAATCATCTTACTTTTGTATCCGTTTCCTTCAAAATTATGTGTTGTGTTCCAAATTGTCAGAAGAAAGGCATAAGGAGCACTGTTCAAAGATTGGGCTTAGATAATTCTAAAATATGTCTCATATTAGCCAGTTCGTTTTAGTGGTAATATCGTGAAAGTGAAATTTATTTATATTTTCGTCACAAAAATGTTGCCTAGTTTTAATCTGCCATTTTACGCATTTCCAACTCCAAGAGAAGCCCTGGATGTCGCCAACGTGGTAAGATCCCTCATGTAAAAACCACTGAAACATCATGGCCTCCTTTCCACATAAAACTTGCGAACGACCTCGTGCTCAAAATAAAAATTCTCTGCAAAAAACTGGGACAGTGCTTTGAGAAGGAATAACAATTTATAACAAGATGTTGCTCTCGCTGGATCAGTTGTCGATGGAATTTGCTATCGATGATATCTCCAAACACCTTGAGACAGCTAGAAATATCTTCGCGATTCTGGGTAGGCAGATGCGATTTATGCAATTATTAGGCCGCTTATTTCATTGTGTACCTAAGAGAGCGGAAGTAAGGGAATATATGGCAGCTGATATTTGGGTTCTCTTATAGTAGTTATTGGTGATAAGTATAACTGATTTGACAAGTAAAGAATACAAACGTTTATTGTAGAATATTTGAACCAGATATTCTGAATATTCAGGCCATAACGGCAGGCTACGAAGATCTAAATAAATGTCTAATTATAATAACTTTTCCAAGTTAACGTTCTCAAATAAAGCTGTATCCAATATATGCTCCTAAAGGATGAGCAAATTAATTAAAAACAAGTTCTAACTACAAAATATTCTACAAATAAGCTTGCACAGCCTATTGCTTGCACAGCCTATTGGGCAGTTGGAGCTAATCTGTTAGCTTTTTAAGTGGGAATTAAAGACTTTCCTGAAAAATTTTCAACAAATTTAATCAAATCAAATCAAACTTTTTTTCAGCAACAAATGAATTAATTACAAATTACGTCATGCTAGCTGATCAGATACAATCATTAATAACAATAAAGATTACATTACAAGGAACAACATAAGATATTATATAAGATCAGCTGATGGACACATGGAAAAAGCTCATGAAGGAGCTATCAGAGCCATGTGCCCAATTTGACACGAAATGACAATAATTTAAAATTAGTTTTGTGGGAATAATAACAGTAAGAATCAAAAATAAAAAAATAACAATTTAAAAAAGAAAAACAGAAATCAAATAATAATGGTTTACAATATGCACAAATAGTTCAATTGTGTTAGAGTGGGAATAAACATGAGGACTAAAGGTTCTCTAGAAGGTAATTTTTCATGTTTCTTTTGAAAGATAGCTTAGTGGCAGTATTTTTAAAGTCTAGAGGCAGCAGAGAATTCCAGGGAACTTTTGTCCCACAAGCATGTGCAAAGTTTGCCGATGCTAATTTCCAAGTTGATATAATTGATTTTGCTTGTCACTACATACAGACCTGTATCAAAAAAGACCTCAAATTTGAAAACTTCATGTTAAAGTTAGTCTCTGCTTAAATACTTTATGGCATTATTAGGTTCATTTCAGCAGCAAAGTCATTTGAAATGTACAGGAAATCTTGATTGTGCAAACAGTCTTATTTGTAGCCCGACTGATTGACTGTAAGCAGAGGCGCCGGAAGCTTCATGTTGCGGCAGGGGCAAGAACCCGGAAAGTGCACCTTTGGGGTATCAAAGTTTGCTGCTGAAACAGATGGGGAATCAACATTTAGCAAATGACGAAGCTTGCTTGTAGGTGAAGGCTCTATCAAGGGAGAGAGGGTTGGTGGCCTGGGGGTGTAGCCTGTAGGGAAATTTTGTGTTGTTACACCGTAAAGGCTTTTGGAAATGAAGGCAAAACCCATAAAAAATACATTTGAATCAAGAATACAGTCAAACTTAATTCTCGGAATTACTTTCACCCTAACATCAACAATCAAGAGAGGCTAAAGCCTGGCTACAATGATAATATCTTTTCTGGCTTAGTTGTGTGTAGTGCTGCCGAGTGGTTTTGGAGGCCTCTTGGTGGAATCAAAAGAGGCCTCTTGGTGGAATCAAAAGAGGAGGCCCTTTGCAAGGGAAGCGAGCAGAAAATTTTGGCAACCATGCCTTTTAGATTACCTAAAAATTCACATCGCCTCCTTGCAATTGTTTAAAAAGTTGTACAATTTTGAAACCTAGATTTCATTAGCATTCAAATATTTTATTGCCTTGAGGTCAATCTTTTGAAAAGGGCACTTTGCTGCCCCCATGCTGCCCCTGCACCACTAGGGAAATATGGCAGCTGCCCCTGCTGCCCAGTGGCTCCATCACTCTTGACTGTGAGCAGCAAAACTTTAAGGCAATGGCTCCCTGTTCTGTATTATTCTGTATTTGTCAGGATGATAGCAGGGACTCCTGGACCGTGGATGCAACAGGGGTACATGCCCTTCAACTTTGGAAAAACCCCTTTTTAGAAATAACCTCTTTGATAAAGTGCTCTTAATGTTGTGACATGTGATTTTTGAAATTCTTCTGACATCCCCAGGAGTTTTCTAAATAGAAAAGAGCTGAGAACTTTCTGCTTTTAATACTCCTGTGTTGAAGTTTGATAAACAAATTGTCTTTTTGGCCCCCTCTCATCATTTCATAGCTTTGGTCAAACTGGCTGATGTCATGCCCATCCACTTTGACATTTAGCTCTGTGCTACTATGATCAATTCCCAGGGCAAAATTTGGTAGGAGGTGACATGCTTTAGGCTCTTATATATGACATATACCCATGTTTAACATGCATCATTCATTTTCTTTTGTGATTCATTGAAACTCTCCTAAAAGAATGAATTGTAATTTATCTCATCTTAACAATTCAATAAGAAATGTATAGCTGTGAGAAACCTCTTGATTGGATCACTTCATTACTGTTTTGTAATGAAGTGATTACTGTATATTACTGTATATGAATCATAGTGTTGCTTCATTAGAAAGCAAGTTTTTCAAGGTTTTGTAAATACAAATAATTATCATCATTATCAGCTTTTCATTCATGATCAGCCTCTTACTAACATGCTTTCTCCTTTACAGGAGCTTTCTATGCTGCCAAACTATGTCTGAAAGTAACCTATGCTTGTTACAGAGCTGTAAAAGTTTATGTCTTACCAAAGATTTGGAGTCCATATGATTTTAGATCAAGATATGGTGAATGGGCTGGTAAGTCTAAATGATCAGATCTAAGATCAAAGTGTAAATGTAGCAGAGAATTAAAATTATATTTTTGCCTTTAAAATCTTCCACAATCATCCATATTTTCTCAAATACTTTTTGATGCTATCATGGCCAGTTAAAACTAAGTAATGTTCCATTATTTTTTTTTGAAAAGTAACAAATAAGAGGCATATTTTTTATGAAAATCTTGTTATTTTGGAACCTTGGAACAGGACACCTTCAGCCGGAAACCCTTCCATGCTGGCAAGTTTTTTATTAATGCTAGATAAGCGTCTTGTAACTATTTGTTTCCAATCGTTGTTGGAGAAATGATTGCTAAAACTTTGGGAGCATATTGCACTACAAATCACAGCCCACTAGAGTTTGTTTTCACTCGTTTTTTCTAGATCAGTCAGCCTTTAGTATTTTCACAATTTTGATAGATCTTCTTGCAGCGTGCTAGTTATATTTTCTTTTGTGCAGTGGTCACTGGAGCTTCGGAGGGCATTGGGGAGCGCTACTGTATAGAAGTAAGTCTTTTTGTTCCGTTTTTTGAAAGTTTGTAGCCTCAAGAAAAATGCTCAAGGAACTTACTTTTAGAAAATGAGACCACCTAAGGAATTATTTGTGCAACAATTATAAACCTGAGATAAGTTGCTCTATCCTTATAAAATCTTGTACCTTTTTGGAAGCAATAATGAATGAAAGCTGTTATGACTAAAAATGGATTACAGGTCATCTGCCCAGCCAGTTAGGAAGCAAATTGAAGAAGGAAAATACGTAAAACAAAACAGAACATTTTACTGCATTCATCCGAGATTTTTCTGTATTCAAACAGTCAATGATTTTTTAGAACACAATCTGATATCAATTTGTATCTTTTCAGCTCGCCAAACGTGGTATGAACATTGTATTGATAAGCCGCAGCTTATCTAAGCTTCAGAAAGTAGCAGCAAAAATAGGTATCATCATTTATCATATCAAATTTGTTTTTTGTTTTTATTTTCGTTTTCAGGGCACCTCTTCTGATGTCAAGTTTTGTTGATGCAGCATTTTCTCTAAGTTACATTCCTTCCCTTAACTCCGCAGCTCTGTGTTGGTGCAGATCAGGTTTTGTTATTTCATTTGACTTTTAACCATAACTCTGCCTTACCCCCCCCCCTACCCCCAGTCAATTTATTACTCTTGAGACACAGGTTTGTCTGCATCGTTTCTATCGTTTTCTCTGCTTGCTCTCTCTCTCATTTTCTTCTTGGTCTTTTTTGTTGCACAAAGCTCCGTCACCCAGAGTACACAAAAATGTAAAAGCTAACAATGGATTATCTTTTCCATGTTTACTTATCCCTTTTCTTTGTAGAAGAATTTCCTGGAATCAAAGCAAAGATTATCACTGCTGACTTCAATGATGACGAATGTTATAAGAGAATTGAAGACGAACTTGCAAATCTTGAAATTGGTGTTCTAGGTCTGTTCAGTTTTCTTATAAATCCTTTCATTTAGTCAAATTTATTTGTAGTATTTTGCTAAATTGTTGGTTTTTTTCGTTTAATGTATATTTTTGCTAAATTTCTGGTTTAACTTTTCGCTTTTTATACTCATGATCTTTCTTCCTATCTTTTCTTTCCCCTTATCCTTCGTCACATTTCTCTCTGTTCAGCCTTGCTCGGTCATCTTCAAAGCTATTATATGCGTCTTCTTCCTATTCTTTTCTATCTTTGTAATTGGTTTTTTGTCCTTTTATTGGGTGTTTTTCGCCTTAATTCCATCATAGATTGAAATTTTTTAATCATGCAGCACTTTTGGCCAATATTGTATATTTCATTGGGAAAGTACTTCTTTTTCTCCTATCTCCTATCGTCACTTTTCTCCTAGTAAACAAAAAGTTTTCAAAGGGAGAGAAGGGGATGGGTTAATTCGCACTGAAACTAGAAACTAAAGCTAGTGCTCTAAGAATTTTTAGCAGGGATTGTTTGTTGTTTTGTGGCGACATCATGCAACTTAAATCATTAAAAACTGACGGCCCTAAATATTTCTTAAAAGTTGTTTCTTTTTCCGGGGCCTAACTGCAGCTCTGTCAATTTTTTGTTATTATTTCAGTCAATAACGTTGGTATCATGTATGAGCGACTGCAGTATTTCTTGACTGTCAGTTCAGAGGTATGTCCAATCTCTCTCTGCATTCCAGAGAAAGCTTTTGCATTTGTTACTTTGCACCTTATTCCTTTCTTTGTAAGATTACAAATATCTTGTAATTTTGCGTGAGTTCAATCGATGGATGCTTGCACAGCTATTTATAGACGTTCATGCCACACCAACAGTCAATAAAGACAAATACTGAAGATAATTTTCGAGCTTTTTGAAATCTATATTGATTATTCTGCTCTTTTATAAACGGGGCCATATTGATAACAGTACTTGTAGAACTGACAAAGATTACCCTTTACAAATATTCATCTTGTTATTTATCATTCTTATCATGATCTTGCTCCTCAAGTTCAGCATTAGCGCTAATGCTGAACTTGAGGAGCAAGATGACGTCAGTAATGACGTCACTATGACCGGCTGAAGTTTTGGCACTTTTCAGTGCTGTATCCTATATAGCCACTGTACAGTTCCTAGACAGTAATTAGTGTATACAGTATAGACTGCATTTCCTAAAGGCTTTTCCTATACATTTAGGCCCATTGACAGGTTTGTTTACTTTAGCCCACTTTTATAGGCAAATAGATAGTATTTTTATGGTTTGTAACAAACGGAAGTAAATTTCAATCCTTCTACTTTACACAAGCGCTGTTTCATGCGATTATTTTTTTTCATATTTGTCAACTTCAAAACACACTCTTTACTTTTTAAAAGATAATAAAATGATTAGAATACTGAATATAAAATTAGCAACATGGATATTTTTATACAAAAGTAAAACCACATTAGCTAAAATTTATAACCGCAAAGAAAGTATAATGTCGATATATAATTGAAATATGATTCAAATTATTATTATTGATATTTACGAGACAGGTGTTGTCTTGTTTTACATGTCCAATCATCATCATTTTTTCTATGCAAAATTTTGTTAATAGCTATTTTCTAAATGTTAAAACTCGCATATTTAGAAATGATTCTTTGCATGTACTCTGTAATGGCTCTACATTGTAATGATTTTAAAATATTTGCAATCGTCAGATAGATCTGATGCCCTTCCTCAATCATTTAAGTGTTGGTCATTACGGAGTTCTTCCACATTCTTTCGACACTAATTTCCACATACCCTTACAGTGTGAAGTCTTTCAATTATGCATGGTTGTGTAGCACAGTACGGTTTCATGTTACAACTCTGAGCTTCATTCTTAATGTCATCAGGCAACAATTAATGTTACGTTTTGCTAAATGGAATTGTTTTTTTGCAAACCATGTTGTTGATCTTTAGATTTTTGCTACAATTTTTGTCAGTTGTGAGTTGTCAGTTAATAATTATCTTTCATTAATCTAGAGGTTGAAGCGAATCGTCAATTTGAACATAACGGCAACAGTTATGGTAAGACTGGACGTTTCATTTCTGTTGTATTTCTTGCACGCTTTCAGTGTGGAAACATTAACGCAGTTGGGTCTTCTATTGATAAGAATTATTTCTCTGCCAGGTCTAACTCTTTCCTCTTCCCTTTTGCTGTGCAGGGCTTTCCGGTGCCAAATACAATAAACATTTATTGGATGATGTGAAAGAAATTTTCGCCAATCAGAGTTTACAGCTTCTGCATATAACTTGTCCCTAAGTCACCTTTTAACTAAAACTTTGTTTTGGAAATTCAATGTCACCCGACAATTTTCTGCAATCGCTCTCTCAGCTCCAAAGTAATGTTACTTCAAACAAGGCTACTTTGATAAATTTCCGAAAGATTTTATTATAAAACAACATTTTAGAATTGGGTGGAGCAGGTGCCACTGGAAGTTTCCAAAGGTGTAAAAGCATGCTTTTATTTTGAAAATGAGTTTTATGCTCTGCTAACCATTAAAATTTTTGATAAAAGTGGATCATTTGTATTTGTGAATATTGCTGGTACAGATCAGTGATTCAGTCGTCAAATTTTAAGTAGAATCAGGTTTTGAAACGCTTGCAATTTTTTAATCTACGTGAATTATGTTATTTTGAAATAGGATACATGTATCTGCTCTCCTTGTAAAGTGAACGTAATAACAACTCATAAAAGTCAAGGATATGCATTGCTTACCATTAATTTTGTCATAAATGTTAACTTTTTTTGTGACCTTTTTTGTAGATGACTAGGATATTTCTGCCACAGATGGTTCATAGGTGAGTTATGGAAGTAGATCATTATAACAATTATGATGATCATCATCGTGCCTAGCAAATAGGAAACTAATACTCATAGTAACTTAGACTTTTTCCTTTCTTTATCAGTCTAACAACATTTATTCCATGACATCAGACATTAGAAGAGAGATGCACATTGTATGCATATCCAACTGATACATTCGGTTTAGCAACTTTTAAAATGATTTACTCTTTGATTAATGTTTTTTATTGTGTTATGTGCTGGTTGAGCCCGTAAGTACACAAAAGTTTACAGTTAAATCAGGTATCTAAAAGTATCAGTTCACAAAGAAACTTCTTACCTGGCTATAATTATCGCCCCCCCCCCCATTTATATAAAACGTTTAGGTGACTCCTCTTGATCACAACTCGAAGCTGTTTAGGAATTTTCAGTTTTTGATTTGACTTTTTTTATGGATCTTCAAACATGTAAGTAGAACTTTACAAAACTCTTTTGCGATTAATTTTTTTATCAGTGGGTTTTATATTCTTCCCAAAAATGCCCATGACCTCACTCTGAATTTTTACAAGTATAAAAATAATTTAAGCTACAAACGACAATGCTTACAGTGAATTGTACAGTTCATGACCAGAAAAGATGCAGGGTCACTTAGTTCTGACAAAGAATGGTGCAATTACACTTTAAACCAACACGTTACAAAGGAATGCAAGTGCCATTTAATAATAGGGGTTAATATATGTCTGAAAAACGCCCCCAGCGAACTTCACCTCATCAACTTCACTTAGATCAGTTTCGAGACAGACCTGGAAGGAAGAAAATATACAGGCTGCTATTTTTTTCTAATCAAAGCGACCCATATCTTAGATATATTATATGGTGGCCCCAGAATGAAACTGTTTCAATAACAGTAAAACGAGGGCTTTCACATAAAATATGGTTGCAAAGAACTTATCATCAAGATAGGTACGGTAAGCAAGAACTGCGGGGCATCTTACAAATTGAGGGGGCTAAAGCATTTCGGAGGGGCTAAACATGCTAAAAACCAAAGGGAGGGTGATTCTTGGTAAGATTTTAAGTAAATTTTGGAAATTATTGGGGGGAGACTAAAGCCGCCGTAGCCCCCGCTTCCGCGTTCCTTGACAGTAAGGCCCCACAAATAAGATGCCTTCTTTTTTACTTAGCCTAAGAAGTTTCTTATACCTGGGATCATAATGGGATTTTTGTATTTTTCTGCTGAATGTTTCTTAAAAGTTTCTTAAATTTCCCAAAGCCGGGTACCATGTTTTCTTAAATGTACAGTGCCGTATGATTCACCATTAAAGTTGATTTTTAACCCATTCATGTGTGTATTTAATTTGAAAATGAGAGCTGTTACATATTCAAGGCTTTAAAGTATTCTGCCACCAAAGAATTGACTTTATTCTGCCATCTAAAAATAAATGTAGTTGTAAATTCCTTGTTAACAAAATGGCATTATAGACCCACATCTAAGAAACTTTATATTAACCTCTGGCCTAGAAGGTTTCTTATTAACCTATTAGCCTAAAAGTTCCTTAAAAGTTTTTTCTTTTTGCGGGGCCTAACTGTTATGCAGATCCTACCAAACAATGATATAGAAGCACCGAAGGTGCTAGATGTCTAGCTCACAGGTCCGCTGTGAGGCAAATTTGTTTTCTTCCGCCATTTTGAATAGTGGCAAAAGGATTTTCCTCCATACTGAGCCCTTATGAATTTGGTATAAGTAAGAATTGATTTCATTCACTTATCTATCGAATATTGATGTGAAATTTGATGAGTGGCCTTATATTGCACTTAAATTTATGAATTGATGTTAATATTGGAAAAAAAGCCGTCATTCGCCAATTCCAAGCATTTACAGTCGCGGTGCTTGCTGTGGTGTTTTCTGTCTCGTCGAAATTCCAGAAAATAATGATTGATCTGTTTTAAAACGGATCCAGCAACAATTTTTAGCCACTCAATGCATTATTTTCTTAACACATTTGTACAAAGAGATGATTTAGTTACTTTTTCTTTCTTGTTTTATATAAACTGCTATGAAATATCTAGGCCCTAGCTCTAGAAAAAGCGGAATAGGTCATAATTGAAGGCTTGGACATTGGATGTACATAATTTAATTTTTGGTGTTCAAATCGAGCTTGGATGTCCTTGTAAAATGTTCTCAAATATCATGAATCACTTTTACATAAGAAACTTCCTGAAAAAGAAGATCACTGGACATTCAGAAAAAATAATTAAGAAACCAGAGCCCTGCAATCCTAGTGATCACATGTTCGAAAATTGTAAGGAAAGCCAATAAGAACTAAAGCATTTAAAGTGCCACACTCAAACACTGCCTTCAATGAGGAATATCTTAGAACATTTTGTTATTTTCCACAGGAAGATGGTCATTACACCAATTCGACTTACGACCTCGTTTTGGAAATTTCTCCATGATTTTAGGCGGGATACTATTTTTCATATTGTTTGAGCTTGTATTTGAGATTTTACCGAGAAATTGAAGTTTGAAAACTTGTGAGGGATTTGACCGCAAAAATCGTTCCGGGGGAAACTTTACCCCCCTAGTCGCCAATCACAGTCAAATCCCTTATAAAGTTTTTATCTTTATGTCGCCATAAAGTCAGTATCGTGAGCAATATCATAATGAAAACTTACAAGTAGAATAAAATCATTGCTGTCAATCCGAATCTGAGGTCAAAAATTTTGTACAAAAGAATTTGAAGAATTTTTCAAAATGAGGCCGTAAGTCGAATTGGTGTATTACTGGTCTCTATAGTATGCAATTGATTTCTTGGATTGCGTAACTTGAAATTTTCATAATTTTCCATCAATGTAATCAATAACTGGAAAGGCTTCCCTCTGATTACGATTTAATAAGTAATTAAGGAAATTGTTATATGTGAATGAAAATGTTACGGAATATTGAGAAGGTCATGCATGCCGGCTAGTTTTATTTGCAAAGTTTTAGGCCCATTTTTTGTTGATAGGCCCTTCCAAAAAGACTAGCCTCCTAATCGTTGTTACAAAACGGAAGTACGTCACCATCCCGCCTCCATTTTGTTGTTTTTCCCGCCATCTCTTCTTAAAGCCCAAATAAGGTAAAAGCTTGTTATTCTATTGAAACAGCTATTGAAAAAGAACACAATTTTCTGGTTAATGATTGGTTGGAGGAAGTTTGTGACTAGTAAACAACCAATAACAATGCATATATAAATAGCTCACATTTATTAAGGAATCCCCGCCCAACTTGGCCTAACAGCATTGTCGAGGTTTCCATTCCGTGAAAGGAGTGCGTGCAGTTTGGATTGCCAGTTTCGAAGGCCATAATTTTAAGGTTCGCGTGCTAAAAAATTGAAGAAAATGGCTGCAGATCGCTCAAAGCTTGTACACCGAGCCAAGTTTGCAGAACAGGCGGAAAGATACGATGACATGGCTGAGGCTATGAAGACAGTGACCGAGATGGACGAAGAACTTTCAAGTGAGGAAAGGAATCTCCTGTCTGTTGCCTATAAGAATGTTGTTGGTGCAAGACGGTCTTCTTGGAGAGTAATTTCTAGTATAGAACAGAAGGCTGAAGGAGAAGGCAAGAAGCAGGATCTAACCAAAGAGTACCGGATGAAAATTGAAACGGAGCTAAGAGATGTATGTATGGAGGTCCTAAATCTTCTTGACAAGTATTTAATTCCAAAGTGTAATACTGAAGATCCAGAAAAAGCTGAATCGTCTGTTTTTTACCTAAAGATGAAGGGAGATTATCACAGGTATCTTGCTGAAGTTGCTTCTGAAAAGGATGACCGCGATGAGGTTGTTAAGTTGGCTGAGGATGCCTACGAGATGGCCTTCGATACTGCCAAGGCACATTTAGGCCCTACTCATCCAATTCGCCTTGGGTTGGCACTCAATTTTTCAGTTTTCTTCTACGAGATAAAGAATGATCCTGAGGAGGCATGCCAGAGGGCTAAAACTGCTTTCGACGATGCAATTCAGGAGCTTGATGACAATGTCTCACGAGATTCCTATAAGGACAGCACGTTGATTATGCAGCTGTTGAGAGACAACCTAACCCTGTGGACTTCTGATCAACAGGCTGATGAAGATGATGCAGACAATTAACGGAAATCTAGGACTTAAATTAAACCCTAAATTTTTTCACTTAACTGTTACAGAATTTGTTTCATATAAATCCAGTGGGCGGCGAGTTTATCGCTAAGTTTCAACGATGCAGACGCCAAACAACGTCTGGGTGAAATTCGACGAGGAACGCTGTTCGTGGACTCATCTATTTGGCATTTGACAGTAAATAAACAAAAATTAAAAAAAGTAAAGAAGCAAGGTAGCTTTGATATTAGCTCCTTCCTAGATATTTTGAGGCAATAGGAAAATACATTAATAATATTGGAATTTTTTGCCACGCCCAATCGTTGAATATGTTACCCTACAACAAAAGGCTTTGCGTGGATTTTTCTTTTGCCCCGCCTGGCGCTTTCACATCGGTGTTACGCTGCATTACTGCCAAAACAGGCCCTTTAATTTCCTTGATGTTGTTGTCAAACCCTGAATGTAAACGACTAGACAAAACATAACCAAATATTAAAGAGATATTAGCAACTCAAAAATTTAGAATTCTTCCTATTTTAAAGATAAAACCCAAACCTTCTTCAATGCTATGGAGACAATTCATTGAATAATTGGAAGGTACTCATCAATTATTTTCAAATGATCCAGGATTTGTTTGCCTGGTTGGTTCCATGCCTTATTCTTTTTTATGTTGCTGTAGACTGCAGTTAAATTGAATTTCATTGATTAGCAATTAATTATGAAAGATTGAGTGAAGTAATCTAGCAATTGTTTATTTTCAGCTAGGGGAAATATGCAAGTTCTTTGTGACAAAAAAAGAAAAATATCTTGTGGGTTGTATCAAGATCAGTGTGATGGAAAATCTACCATACTGTAGATCTTATTCAGGGGCGTAACTGTTTGCTTTGAGCAAAAAGAATGCTCATCTTGAAAGTGGGTTTAATGGGATTTTAGGGAGGAGAAATTTGTTAATGATTGGGAATATTTGTGTTACCCTCCAGAAACTAGGGTTAAAAGCTCAATGCACAATCATTCATAACATCATCACCTTTAGTTTATAAATACGACAATGGTTCATAAGTAGTGACTGTTTTTTCTTTGTTACACATATTAATAGTGACTTTTTTTGCTGTGAATTTTGCAGTTTTTTAACTCTCTTGTTTTTTGTACAGTGCTTTCTCATACCACAACCATTAATTTAGATTTCATGTTAAATTTTTTGGATTGCTTCTTCATCATTGTATTTATTTAAGTATATGAAAGTGCAAGGAATCACAAATGCTACCATTCATTGTGCCTTTGACTTTACCTTCTGTAATTGTTAGACTTGGTTTTTATTTCAAACTTTTCTGCTATTTTACAAGGCTTGTTTATTTGTCTGTTTTGTTGTTTGTTTGTCTGTTTTCAGATTGCCTTGCTTGTGTTTGCTAAAAAATATATTCCCAAAATAATATATGGGAAATGAATCACTTTGAAAATTGCTTAGGTAATTGGTAATATTAGTTAAATAAGACCACCAGGTGTGATTCTCTTACCAAGCTTCACTCGCTCTTTTACCAAACGGTGCATTAAATTCCTTAACTAGGTACATTGCTCAGCTGCGACCAAGTACACTGTGGCCCCCTGCATACCTTCTTTGCTCAAATGGTACTTCCATGTATCAGTCTGACAAAGTTTTTGTAATTGTCTATGTGTACATATCAACAAAATATGCCAAATTGTCCCTCCATGACCCTTATATGTATGTTAGGTGGGAATTATATGGAGGTAAGTTAAACATATTGGTGATGTTCCAATTTTCAAAGTGGTGGGTAACTGCATTCCCTTGAAATTCTTGGCATATGATACTAGATTTATTACATTATCTTTGGTAATTTTGGATGAAAAGTTGTCCCTTTTTTTAAACATAAATCTTTCTATCTCAGGGTCTGTTAATGCAAACTGTGGTCATTTCCCAGTATCAACTCTGCAAAATGGAAATTTGACAAATTGAATATAAGGCAACTGATTCTGGGGAATAAAATTCAAATTGGAATGAAAAAATTTCTCCAAAGGGGTAAATTTTTCCAAAAATCGGGGGCATGTGGCCCTGGTGCCTCATGTATCCCTGCAATATAAAATGCTATGTCAATGTGGATTCTTATTCTAGTTAAAATTAATTTCCCTGTCCTCTGTCTCTTTCTGGAACAATGAATGCATGTAAGAGTTCTCATACCAATTTTGGTTGCTAGAAAACTATGTTATCATCTGATTTAAATTAATAACAGCATTAGCTCTTAGTTTTTAGAATTTTCATGAACATTTTTTTTCTTGCATTGTCTTGTTTTTAAGAGTTGTTCATGTATGGTGAATATCCCTTTTCAAGAGCTGTACTCAATAACAATTAAAAGTAATATTTTTTATCTCAAAATCATGTTCATGTTAAAGAATATTTTGCAGGACAAGTGGGGTGGAATGTCGGGCTTTTCAAGCATGAATTCAATTTTAAATTGTCTTCTGATTAGGTTTTGGGTGCTCAACCTCCCACTTCTGAGGAGTATAATTTTGTATATCCCCAGAGTACTTTTGTGAGCTTATGATTTGGTAAAAATATGTTTTATTTTGTACGCCCTGTGTTCATGCGTTTTTTTATGCCAACTAAGTTGGCAACTTTTCTAAGTCTCAAATTCTAGATAATATCAGAAGAAATTTCATCGACTAAAAAATGAAAAACCAGCTTTCCTCTTATATGCTTCTGAGAGTAAAATTGAGTTTGTAATGATAAAAAGCATAGTTTTGTGTCAAATACTTTTTGGGCTTGTTTTCATTTATAATATAAAGCACCTCAGTCCCCACATTCTTCTTGAAGCTGTCATCCTTTTGGCTCTTTTCAATTAGCATCATGGATTAAAATTTGGATGTTTATAGTTACACTGCACCATTTCATTGAAGAGGGCAGGTGGTACCCCCTTGGTATAAGTTGGTTTTGATGTATTTGTAAAGAGTTCTGCAATTAAAATATGGTTTAACCTGTCATGTGGAATGATAACAATATAATGAAGGTTGCCAAGAGCTTATGGAAAAGCAAGAGTCGATTTTCTTGGAATACTGCAATTTGTTGCAATTTTGATACTGGCAGAGCTTTTTTGGGAAATTTCGATTCAGGGGCAGTTTTTCAGATTTATCTTACTATTAATATAAAATTTTGAACACTTTCTGGCTAGTTGGGCTGGTTATCACCAGTGTTATCCCATTGTTGTTGGCAACCATTATTTTCTTTATTCTTGCAGTGAATCACATATTCTAAGGGTGTCTTACCATTACATATTTACCCTTCTGGCACTGATGCCTGAAGTAATTTCTAAAACCATGCCACAAATCCCAACATTTTTCTCATTGAATTTGCGTCGATCTTAAAAAACCTCGTTTCTAATCAGCAAGGGGACTAGCCTCCCACTTACCTTGTAACTCCGCCACTGCAGCTTTTCAATTTTGATGGGAGACTCGAATAATTATCTGCAACCTCTATTCACTAGCGTAAAACATTGGCAAAAGTAGCTGTATCACCAGCACAGTGAAATCCTGCAGTATCTCACTGTTACCATAAAAATATATCACTGATGTAGTTTGAATCAGAAGAAGTCCAAGAACTCATCCTTGTGGCACGACTGTAAATGTTTTACGCCGTGTGTTAAATAATCTTTAACTGTTTGCTTCCCACTAAAGAGATATTTGCGATTTTACCTTCAAAAATCCAATATTAGTAAGCAAGCCCCTCTGTTTTCATATCCTGTACAACCTACCTTCTTACCCATGCCCTAAATATGTTGTGTACTTGGGCCAAGCTACATTTTCTTAGCTTTATACTTTTGTTTTAGAAAAAAGGGTGCCATAATCAATATCTCATCTGGGTCTTGTGTGCAGCCTGTGCCGACAATGACCGCTTATTCTGCTGCTAAGGTAAATAAAACGGCCCGATGCTTTATTTAATCCTTCCTGTATATAGGTGTCAAAGTTTCTTGCAGCTTTACTATGATTGGTAACGTAGAACAGCACTGTTTTTTAAATAAGTTCATTTTTTGCTTCAAGTGGCAGTTGAACCACAAACAAAACGATTTTGAATCGTGAAAGCAATTGGCTTCGTCTGCAGCTGCAATCCTGTGGTTTTTGAATCAATTGAGTGTGCTGTACAGCAAAAACAATATAGTTTCGAAATTTGAAACACAAACGATGGTATTTCTTAAAAGAAAAGATCACTAAACGGAAAGTTATTTTGAAAACTTATTTTGAAAGTGTCCAAACGCTTTTTAGTGCCAAGCAAAAATGTAACATATTTGGAGGCTCAAAGAATTGAGTTCTTTATTGAATTCCACACAATAAGATAAACTTGGTTTTTCAGTTTGAGGTTAACAATTTTGTTGTTATCTTACAAACATGTTAAATGTAAGACACAGACAGATAAAGAAACCAGTATAGCAATGACAATGAAAATTGCTCTTAACTTTTTCTATAATTTATGAAAACTTTTTTATCATTTATGTAATTGGAAAACCTGATTGTGGATTTTAATAGAGTAAATCTGTTATGCTTTCAACTTAGTTCTAGTGCTGGGTGTTAAAGCACAGCAAAGCAAAAGACATGTTATATCTCTGGCACAGCAAAAGACAACTAATCTTTAGCTTGATCTTTTTATCTTTGCAGATGTACACTGACTATTTCTCCCGGGCGCTGAACTACGAATACCAGAGGCAAGGCGTAACGATACAAGTAGGCAACAATTTTTTAATTCGTGGGTAGTTTTATAATAGAGCAGAAAAACGTGGTCTAGGAAAGAACAGTGCTGCTAAATCTATCCTCCTTTCACAGACAGTCGTCACAATGCGAAATAGCTTGGCAGTTTGAGGCAATTTTTTTTATATAGTGGTTGAATCAGCATTCCCCGTCCAGTCGCTCCATGAACATGCGCAGAAGTAATTTCAGGTCATTTTGCATGCCCGACTACAGGGACGGGACGGGGGAGCATGCTTGCTAACAGGATTAACAGGTTATCCTCAAAAAGAATGCTGATTGTTTCAAGCCGGTACAGAAAAACCTGTGTTAAGGAACTGGATATTAATTGCCCCACAGCTGAATTTTCGCGTATCAAACACCTTCAATGTAAGAATGACTGTAAACGTTATGAAAATGAAGTCTAGAAAATAAGTTACATTTTAGAAACTACTAACCATTGAAAGGTATAACAATGTTAACAAAGACTTTCGTAAGCTTTTTATAAGAAAGTTATTTATCATGCCGTAAATCCTCGAATTGCCCCCCCCCTCATCGAAAAAGCCCCCCACCTCAAATAAGCCCCCTTTCTAGAACTACAAAATGTCAATAAACCCCCCTCCTTCGAATAAGCCCCACTGCTACCGTAAATACTCAAATTGGACCCTTCAATTTGATGACTTTTGCCATCTGAGGTTGCCTATGGCGTTTTATTGAATTACCACAACAAATCCATACTTCTGGTAGTAATTAATTAGATGCTCATAAAGAAATTTCTACTAAATTAAACGAGGTTTTTTAATAATGTCTTTTTAATGTCTACAATAATTTTATAAGCCCCCCCTCGTATAAACCCCCCCTCGAGGATCGGTATTTGAACATGATCTAGGGGCGCGTTAATTCGGCGTTCACAAAGCAATGCTACATGCAAAATTATATTTGTTATCAACCATGAATAGTTTATGGAAAAGTATTTTCATGAATTGATAGCAATTTTTGTCAAGGAATGCATTCTTGATTTTCTTTACTTACAAGACTCGCCTTTTGTATTGACTATCTCCCTGACTGTGCTGTTAAACTCAAACTCAAAAAAAATTTTCAGCAGATTAGTTAATTACAGGTTACGTTTTACTATATAAAGTTGTTGATAGTCGTTAGCTACAATAATTGTTAACTACAAAATAGCTAAGGTAAACAACATAAATAAAATTAAATTCATGCCAGCCCCTTCTCTCTCTTCTTTTAGAGTGTGCAACCCTTCTATGTGTCAACTAGAATGACAAACTTCATGAAACCGAACTTTTTGGTGCCAGATGCCGAAACCTACGTTGATCACGCGGTAAAGACTTTGTCCTTCACATCAAGGACGTTTGGCTATTGGTCACATGGCCTTTTCGTAAGTAATTTCCCTATTTAATCTATACGTGCTCGCCGATATATTCAAGAGGCATGCCTTTTTAACCCACTCGCGGTCACCAATGTAGCCATGAGAAAATGTTTAAGAACTAAGAAACCCGCAAGAAAATCTAAGGGATAAGGCAAGGTTCTTTTCCTGGGAAAATTTGTGCCAATCGCTTCAGTTTCTGAAATGGAGAAACTTTTTTGTGTAGGGGGGTGGGGGACTGTGAATTGTTTTCCCATACTTTCATAGTAACTCCTTGGCCTGATTCTATTTGTCTCCTTTTGGCAGTTTTAATGCAAAATTTTCGTTTGTATTATGTTTAATACCCCGGGTTCCAGAGCCAAAGAAATTGGGAGGGGAATTAAGATGAGAGAAATAATTTTATTCCTTTGCCTTTTCTTAAGCTCTGGTACACAGGATATCATATTGACTGTTTTCTGATTTTGGCCTTCCTCAAAGCTTTGCAGTATCCATTCGCGAACTTGCTTATTCTGTCCTTAGAATCATAACGATGATTTAATTCTCATTTATCTTTGGACATGGCTGACAAGTTTTAGCCTGAAGATTTAATTTCATGAGTCTTTCTATCTCGAGGGGAAACAGGGCTTTTAGCAAAAGTGGAGAGAATCGAACAATTATTATGCTTGGTATTTAGCATCTGGTTCAAATTTTGTTCAATCATGTTAATTATTTTTATTCAAACGGCGAAACGTTTTTCGCTTTGTTTTTTTTAAATCAAGTTCGCTTTATCAATTGATTTCGATGACTCGGCGAAGCAAAGAATTTAACAATGACATTTCAAACTAACTACTAAATGAAGGTTCCAGTTCGGGACCACGTCTGCCACAACTGCTCAATTCAAGTTGCCCTGGGTGCCAGAGCCACATAAGTTCAAGAGGAAACAGAATATAGGATTGTAGTAGCGAAGGAGCATCTTTCCGAGAAGAAGGAAAAGTGACTTCTCTGCTTGGCATTCTGTTTACGTGCTCGAAACTTTGTGGCTCTGGTACCCAGGGTAAATTCAAGTAATCCTTACCCTGAACCCCAGATTCAAAATAGTCGTTTTAGCTTGGGGTCTGGAACTCAAGCTAGTTATCCTTTGTTCTGATGAAATCTTCATCAGTTTTGCTCTGATGGGGCCCCGTTTTCCAGGCGAAATATTAGCTATCGATAATTTATTTGTGTATGTTGTAGTTTCTTCTCGGTTCGTTGCGGTGTTCCTTATTTTCCACATTTTATCGACTTTTCGCCGCAAGTTTTACATTGTAGTCCATCGAGGTCTTTCCATTACTTACATACAACAAACCCACCTTTGTGGCTTCGGCGGTTAAGGGTTCATACACAGATACACAGAGCAGCTAGCAGAGTTTTACTGCCCAGCTGCCATGGTCGAGAATTATACCGCCACAAATAATGTGATATAAGAAATGGAGTCCGAGGACCTCAAATCGGATCAGTTCTATTCCTTCAGGTTAGCTGAAGTTAATCTCAAACGGCCCACTTTATCGCGATTATTCCCGCTCGTATAACATTAAGCTGAAGCGGGTCGTACATTCTTGAAGAAAAGAGACGCTATTAACTTCGAGACCTCCTATGGTCCACATGTGGACGTTAGTATCGCTGGGTTTCTATGAAAACGTACTACTCAAACTAAGCAGATGAAGGCCTTCCAATTTTGTTTTTTTTTCGCCCAAAAATTTGAGTTGGGCTTCCTTTTTGTCAAAGCATGAGATTGCCAACTTGAATGAAAAGAAAACGGCGAACGGAAATACTCTCACTAAGACTGAAACCGAAGTAAACATTTTCCAACAGATTGTTTTTCTAAATTCAAGAAAGCTGAAAAAGATGACAAGCCATTTGGTTTGCATAAAAGGTATAATCATTAAGCTTTTACTCAGAAATTTAGCACAGTAAATAAACTAGATATCTTACGCTACTTCACTTTACTCCATACTAATTTGGTCTACCCTAGTGACCCATGTCCATGATCTTCCTTGACGCCCCAAAACTCACACCGGATGCATTTGCCCCTTTGTTCGTTCCCATCTGCAATCCAATTACATTCTGCCCAGCTTTCAGTTGTTCTTCGGTGAATTCCCTCTGATTCTTCTCTGCCTCGACTGGTCCTGAGTAGGTTGCTACCCCAGGAATTTTCATCTTGATTGTCTTCCTTGCAAACGCATCCAATCCGTTGATAACCGACTTCATGTCTGTGCCTATGGGGCAAAAGAGAATCTCCCTTAATTAAACTGCGTCATAAGCTTACCATTTTGTCCCTTACTAATTACGAACCACGGCGAACCAGAACATAGTAGCAAAGTGATAAAATTATAAAAATCTTCTAAACAATACATAATTTCATAATAAAAAGGGTAGAAATATTTGTTTTCTTTCAAGAAAACAAGCTCAGCCATAGGGGACAAGCAGAGCTACACTAGAAACGAAGTGTATGTTTGCGTTTTACTAGGCGAGGACCTGAGCTTCGTTACAGGTCACAACAATTTCCAAATCCCGTTTTCACTGAGTTAGAATCTAAACGAGATTAGTTATAAGTGAAGTGGATCCAGTAGGTCATCGAGGCTGGAGGGCAAGGTTGCGTAACACACCAACAAATGGTTACAAAGCACCTTTATCGCGTAATTTAAACATGATAAAGTTTACAGTGCCGTGCATTTGAACATAGAATTTGAAATAAGTCGTCATTTCTATTTCGTTTAACGTATTTATTTCCTAAAGTACAAACTATCCATCCTGGTTTTCATTGATCCTTTTAAAAAAGTAACAGCATTCAAAGTCATAATTACTCATTTGCGCAAGTGGGTCGTACTACCATACTTTTGTTAAGGGGGGAGAGTACTTGGAATGGAACAAGCCATCTAAACCAAGGGTCAAGACTTTTTAATTTTCCACGTTTTCATGGTATATACTCAGTTTGTGTAAAAAATCAGTGATAAAAAACTCTAATACTCTTTTCTAAATAAAGCGAAACTCTTCTGGGAAGCTTAGGGATGTACCAGAAAGTTAAATAATAAAAGATTGCTTCTATTTTTCTCTTTAGCATTCTAATTTTGATCATTTCTTCCGGCATTCTTGAACAAACAGTCCTCATTACAGAAGAGGGCCAATTTCCCTGCTTGTGTTGTGTACACATTGAACTGCAGCAATTGTTCAGCGAAATTAAGAAACACTGCACGAAATATTGTTGACTACATCGATTCTACTAGGTTGGGGGTGAAATAACTTTGCTTTTATTACATTGAAAAGATATGTTTATGAAACTTTTCAAAGTTATGTTTATGAAAAGGCATATCATAAGCAACCTTACTTTTTTAAAGCCCGGAGATACTTGAAATAATTTCAAAATAACACTCACTTAATTAAGAAGTACTTCAAATAACAAAGTTTGCCTGAAATGAAAATATTTAACCGTCGAATCAAAAACGCTCTTTTGAATATTGCAGAACCTAAAGCCTCGCTTCTTTCACCTAGACATAGACAAAGGTCACTGAAGAATTCCGACAGAGGCCTAGCCATGAGAATTTGTAACAATTGTAAATATTGTTAGGTATTTTGGTAAAAGATTAGCAAGAAAGTTAATTGAAGAGATCACACGAGTTGATGTTCGGCCTGTGTTTCACCGGCTCTATCTGCCCTAGACAAAAGTACATAGTTATACAATATGTGAAACGATGACCGGTAAATGAAATTTGTCAGGTTTAATGGTATCAACTTTTGATGAAGGTTTTGTGGACGGAAGCAAGAGATAATTTAAGCAATCATTCGTTGTTTCAAAATTGCTCAAACAAGAGTCATAGAAACAAGAGCAAGAATGTTTGAAGCATGTTGAAAGCTGAGGGACAGGGCAATTAGGAAACACTTGCACCATGCCTGTTTTCCAAAAGAAATGATAAGAACATTGATAATTGTTGGTTGATACAGGTAACATCAGCATTGAGCAACAGCAAAATGGATTAATTTCATTCCTTTTTCATCTGTAGCGGCTCGTGCATAGGGGCAAGTGGGACTCAGCCCCACCAAAGATTTCCAAGAATGGGTTTCAGATTTATTTACTTCAATAAAATAAACGTTCGTTATAATTTTGGCATGTTTACTGATTTCGTGGCTTCGATTTTCTTTATAAGCCCATTCTCTAGGTTTTTGAGTCCCACTGTCTGCGTTTCTTTTGAAAACTAGGCAAAACACATATCATAAACTATCTACTGAGCTTTTGGGGCTAGCCCCAGACTACAAGAGATTGCACCAATCAAGTGTCTTTTATGGCTCGACTATTCGAATAAAACTGCCCTCTGATTGGCTAAATCTGCACGAATATGCATTCCTTCGGGGCTAGATAAAACTAGCCCCAAGCAACGTCTAGTCGACGACTCGCATTTCCAGCTTTAAAACTTTATAGTATAGCATACTAAGTTCTATCTGAATCAGAATCTATTTGCCGATCCTTAAATGCAACTCAAAATGGAAAGGTTAGGCCTTCTTTGTCATAGGGATATCTCCTTTTGACATATCTCCTTTTCACAGAAGTCTTCTGACAGCATCAAGTATATCCAATGCATGCTATGACAATGAATTACTTTGTTCGAAATTTTCGGTTGAGTACAAACTTTTTCATTGCTATACTATGCGAAAGATATCTTCTATGGGTTTGCAATACTGGAGGTGTTTATGTTTTGATGGAAATCACTCATGAACTTCCCTTTTTGTTCTGAACAGAGAAACGGTCCAGGGAACTGGAACACATGAAGTTGAGCATACCAAAAAAGTTGAATTTTAAGAAGAAATCTTGCTGTTTGATTTAAAAGTTTAAATATGACGATAGCCTCGTTGACTAGAGGTAGTTCTTCGAAAAAGGGGAACGTTTTATTATTCACGGCGTTTCGAATTTATTGCCTTAAATGTCGAGTATTACGTCATCAGCCCCACCAAAAAATTTCCCCATGAGCCGCCACTGCTTTTCATTAAGATACACAGAGAAATTGTGCCCCACTAAGTGTGTTGCTAAATTATATGTTGCTTCTTTAGAGTGACTGTTCATAATTCTCTTTTGCCTTAGAAACCTCTGCTAGCTGGAAAGAATGTCTATTTTTGTCTGGTGTCTCATGCTATGACGTTTGCTGGCATTCAAATTTCGCATGATAGTCTATCGCTTAAAATATTTAACATTTTCAAAACTATTTTGCATGGAAAACCCCTTCCAAACGCCCTCATCTCCCAAGTTAATAACCCTAAAATATCTTAGCCACAGTCAGCCAAACCTTCTTACCTTCTTTCCAGTCATTCACTTAAGAATCAGCTTCAAGATTTGATTGATGTAAAATGGTGGAAACCACAGAATCTTTGGTCATGTAATTAAAATATATTGAGACAAAAAAACGTATGGATTGGTTTAGTTTTTTCTGCGGATGAGTTATAAGGCTTCCAGCCACCGTGATTTGTTAATTATATTTCCATTCACTGCCTTAAGGTTCAACTGAAATCTAATCTGTAAATTAAATTACTCGATTTAAGTTACAGTAAGTCTTGTTTAACATTCATCCTGCCAAAATCGGGTTTTTGAAAGGTGCAAAAGAGGTTAAAAATGTTAATATCATGATACGGGCGTTGTCTGTGGTTTTCTCAGCCTCGATTGGATGTATATCGTCTTTCTTGTCAAACAACTCAGTTGTTGGCATACAATGGTTGATGATCACAAAATACATTCTGATATTCATTTTGGAAAAGGGTATAAAGGCAAAAATGAGGGTGCTTATTATTTGGGTCTCCAAAATAATTTAATGGGTGTAGAATTTTATTTATTTCCCTGTTTATTCGACGACTTTCCAACTCTACGTAAGTTGCAGCCAAATTCCCTACCATCTTTTAACGCCCAAAATGTCATTTTCCCAGCAAATAGGTATAGTCGTAGATCCGAGCAACCTCTCCCAATGGCGTTGCCAAAAAACATGTTCTGCCAATCTAACAAAAGGAATATTGATTTTCGTTCTTTGAGTATTCTAGATTGTTAGGAGGGATAGCGTTTTGCCCTTCGTTTCCCAAACATTATGTAACAAGCCACTGCCTATTGTTGAGGATGAGGCTACTCCCTGCCACCTCAGAAAATTATCTAATGCCACCTCGTGATACTTTTCTTTAATTTTTTGCCTGAATTCAACGATACCAGATGCTGCTTCCAGGAGATGTTTTTGACAGAAAGCTACATGCAGCACTTTTTGTGAAACGGAGCTATTAAAGGGCATCTGTCGTGAACATGATTGGCTAATGCAAAACAACTATCTTTTTTGCTTACTACAAAGCATGAGATCGAGGGTGAATTTTTACGGCAGTAAAAATTAAAGAAGAAGAAATGAAAAGTCACGAAACAGTGGAATTCCACTCCAAACGCTTTGTTTTATTAGCCAACGGTTAATGCGATATATGCCCTTTAAAACGATCAGCAGAAAATGTTGAACTCGCCTAACATTCAAAAAGAAAAGGAGTTTGCCACACCATAAGCCACTTCAGTGACCCTTGAATTCATTAGATTATTCTCCTTCTTCTCGATGACACGTTTCCTCACATGGTCTTTCCAATACTACGAACAAGCCGCTAATATTCATCGCCGACATATTTGAACAATTCATGTTTCCTCGATAAAGCGGTTTATCTAATTAGTTATCTTATCTTCCACAAAATTAATTAAATGCTTATCTTTAGCAGCCTGTATCATGCTTTATTCATTTTTCATCGAATTGCCCCTAGCTACCACTCCTAGCCTAAAAAGGCTGCAAGGGTTTTTAGAAGTTAAAATTGACGTCATTTCACATTTTCAATCATCGCAATCAACTTCGTGATCATAATAATCATCATCATCTCATCACCATCGCAACAACCATCATTTATAAGCATTGATAAATTACTTCCTTTTCCTGTTGTATTTTCCAAAACTCGCTATACCACACTTTCTCTATTGTGCTATACCAAACTTCGCTGTTTACATAATTCAAGTTGGTATGGGGACATTCGTACTAAACTGACGGATTTAACGAATCTGCGACAACTTTCCTTCGGGGAGCTTTTGTCGGAAGGGCAAGACACCTGCTACAATATTGTGAAGGAAAGATACTAATTAACGTGTGCTTCTATTACTCCTGTTGGAAATGCTGTTTATGTTATCGCAACAAAAGTCAAGGTATTAAATGTTAATGAAAACAACCTGCTCATTGTTTGGTCAATTCACGCAGAAGAAATTGCAAACAAAAGCTCTTTACAAGCTTTTTGTGATGACGCCAATGTAAAATATTTGCTTTAGAGGTTTAATTATCGTTACAAATTTTTAGCGAGCTTTCTTTTCTTTTATATGGGGCTGACCGTCTTCTGATTCATTCCTACTTTAGGTCCAATTCATCTCTTCGTTTTTATCTCCCTCTTTAATTCAACAGGCCGAATAAAACATTTCGTAGAATAACGAAGGCATTATTGGAGTATGGGGTTCCTAGCCTGCGCCCCAGTCCACAAATGTATGACAATTCCAGTCTTGGGTGATGTTTGCATGCCTTAGATGTTTGATGTTTGCATGTCTGGAACAAAAGAACCCGAAATCCCCCAAATCACTTGGCGATTATGTCATAGATTGCTGTGAATGAAATTGCTCAAAAGAGAATGCTTTAGTAAACGAAACTTTGTTAAACAGTAAAAGAGAAACCGCACGTATCATGTGTCTGCAAATTTTCAAGGTGACGATTCTGATCCTGCCGTCGCAATATGACCCACCCTAGAGCCTTCACTCGCTTAATAATACCACAACACTGATCATAACACTGATCATAACAACAAGGATTGAATAAATAAATAAATGCAGTAGATCAGGGCAAATACTTACCTTCATAAAGCGATGATGTTTGAAATAAGTCAGTTGCAGAAACACCAATCTTATCTGCAATTGACAGAAAATTGCCAGTGTTTTCCATGAGTTTGAAAGGGGAGTTTAAAGTTTGAATCTTTTTTTTATGTACAGGCGAGATTTTGTTTGCCACCGCCAATATAAGCTTGCCATCCTTGAGTTTTTGGTGCACTGACTCCCACGTGAAACTGCCTTCAAAATCGACGGCAAACTTGGAGTCTTCGCTGTCCTGGCACACCGCGTTGAACCAAGTGCAGACCTTTTCAGCCAAGCTTTCGTCATATTCTTGACGTTTCTTATTTTCAAGCTCTCTTGTCAAACCGAAGCCTTTAGGACGTGAAGCCATGATTATCAATAACTTTCTGTTGATCCCTGCTACCCCTACACAGCAATTGGCGATAAGAACACTTTCTTGAGGTTGTGACGAGTATCTATACCTCCTGACGGTAGCCAACGCCTATCCATAATTCATTTACCGCACACAGTCTTTTCAAAGAAAAACAATCGGAAATTGTCGATTGTGTCTGCTCCATTGTCTTTCTTTTGTTGTTTAAGTAACGATATTTAATAATACCGGACCACGGCTTCTTTTGTTGCCAAGCAATGATAACTTGCATACAACATGAAAATATTTAGCCCACTTTGCAACGCTACTGTGTTATCAAGCTTGTGGAACAAAGCCAATGAAATCGAATCTATCTGCCCAACCACAAGCCCAGGGCCGTAGACAACAAGGCGTGGGAGATGAGCAAAAGTCGTGGACCACTTTCATAAACGAGCGACATTCCGGATAAAGCGGGTTGCCAAGAAGGTCAATCCTGAATAATCAGCATTTCCGCACAAAATGCACAAAATTTTATCTGCCAGGCCCTGTTAAGATCAGTAGAATGACGGAGAGAATGACTGCCTGATTAATTCAAAATGGCTTCTAAAATGTCTTTAAAGCAGAAATATACGTCGAACGATCAAGTCATCTTTGGGCAAGGTTCAAAATTTTTGGTAGCACGTGTTCGGGTAACAAATGGGAAATAGCTGGTTGTTGTTCTGGTATCCGGCCTTGTCCAGAGAGACGCTTCTGTAACACGAAACAGGACAGTCGCAGCATCTCTCGAAATACGGAAGAAATATTTCTAATAGTTTTTCGCTTGCAGCAGTTCAATTTTCAAAATGGTGCTCCCCTATTTACCACGCTCATAGGCGCCCCTCATTTAAAGGCGCATGCGCATATATCCTGATATAGCCACAGAGCGCATAAATGTGGATCTTAATTTTATGGTTTTTGCGAGAAAAATGCAAAACAAGAAAAAGCGATATTGTTATCTATTTTCTCTTTGACAACATATGCATGCTTCCTCTTGCATTTTGTCTTTCTTCAAATTGTCCTTTGAGTATAAACTGACATGATGACGAAGACAAATTTACTTACTGTTATAAACATAAAGAAGAATTTAAAGCGCAAGCGCATGCGCTTCACAGGAGACATTTTCCTAGGCATTTTTCGTGAAGTAAGCTCCCAACCCTTGAATAAGCCCCAAAAAGATGTTGCCTCGACAGCGATAAGTATACTCAAATATACCTGCATTTTCAGGCATACTGGCCAGCCTCAAATAAAAGGAACTGACAATGTACCTTGTTAATATTTTTAGCAACTGCTAGATTAGCCTGTAACTTCGAAGAAGCCCTCCCATTCCCTCGAATAAGCACTGTTAAAAAGGTTTCCCAGGCTTGCTGTTTTTCATGTTATTCTGCTTTTTCCGTATGTATTATCTAATTAGCTGTAACTAAGGTTTATAATGCACTCTAATATTGGCTTTCTGCACCTGCACTTGCTTTTAATTTGTTAGCGTTTTTGGAGGAGAAAAGATTTTCCTCCCTTGCACTGTATGCACTTAATTATATTTGCTTATAGTTTAGAATTTGGGGGCAGAGTCGCGCAACAGGGTTGAGGAATAGTTCGGTTTTTAATGGAGTGCTCTGAGAGCACAGATTGCGAATTTAGTTCAAGAGTGCCAATTTTATCAAGTGAGATATTGATCGTTACGGAATTAAAAGTTTTTTATAACCATTTTACACCTCGGATTTGTATAAAGAAGTATATATATAACCAGTTTTGCTATTCCAAATTTTGTTATTATTTTGTCGAACTCAGCGCCGAAAGGGCAAATTGCTGCCTTTTCGAACAAGCACCAACCTCGATATATTTTTGTGAAGTAAGCCCCTGGGGGTTTTCGTGGTCTTACAGTAATGTGATTGAAGAACACACATTCTTAACAAGATTGGAGCATTCGTCTACTCCATGGTATCATTTTGCCAGAACCATCTATGGCGCGCGACAAAAAAGTTAGAAACAAAATAAAGCTGAGAATTTCTTTTTCGCGCTCTTTTCTTCTCTTTTCCTTTCTTCCCATCTGCTTCAAGTTCTTCTCCCTACAAATGAGGTAGCCGCAAATCGCTCTTCTGTGAATACTCGTAGTTCCTTGGAATGTCATTGATTAGCTTGATTACCTTACTGGCTCCAACTGTAATACATTTTTTCCCGATTAATGACCATATGCTCTTTGGAAAGCAGCATGGCTAGCTTTAATTTACTGTTATGATGTCTTTTTAACGTTCTTCTCAATATAATCTTTTGTTTGGCGGGATTCTAATGTCTTTAATTTGATATTTTTAAGAAGAAACATTGATATTGTTCTTGTAGAAGCTAACAAGTCGTCTCTTTGATTGCTACCTTGGGTATCAGACTCACTTTATACTAGAAATAGCTCTTGCTAGTACTGCCCGCAAACAATTAGTTCCTTGATAATGATTGTTTTGAAAATTTAGGTCAGGACATTCGAAGAAGACACCATCTTGGGTTTTCACAATTTTATAAAAACAGCTGCTCTAGTTGATGCTAAACTATTCTTTTTATCAAGAATTTTGACTCGTCTCTTTGAATTTTGTTGTCTTTTAATGCATGCTTGCCCTCAAAGTCAGTTCAATCTTTTGCAAATTGACTGAGATACAGCAAACAAAAGAACTTGGACATCAGCCAGTTTCCAACGCATTTAACTCTTTTTGCACATTAGATGCTATTGAACATACATTCTGCGTAATACATGGTATCTTCTTTATAAGAATTTTTGATATGAATTATTGTATGATATTTTCATACTTTGTTTGCAGTTGGCAGGGGATCTAATTATGTATTGAGCTGATTGAGGCCAACAATGTCTAATTAATGTAAAAACTAATTATTATTTTAAGAGTGCAATTAAGGTTGTACGAAACATACTGTTATGTCATTTTGCACCTTGACTGTACGGACACGGTCAGTTAGCTTATCTTATACATCTTGTTTAAAAAATGTTTCTAGTTCTTGTTCTCAGTTATAATAGCAAATAAACATAGGAAGCCTGATAAAAATGGGGTCGACAAAAGGAGCACCTCGGTTAGCTGCAAATAGGCACTTTACCTCTCTTTCTAAATTTTGAGCTATATGCTCCTGGTGCCTCCCCCCGGTTCCAAAGTCTATGGCAAAGATTTATTTTTATGAATGTTGTATAGGATTATGTTACAAGCTTTTTGATTATTTGATTACAGGGTGTCATCGGCGGTATGCATCCTCAATGGCTGTTCTTCTGGGCCTCAACCAACATCAATGTGCCTCTTTGGAACTACCTTACCGGTGAAGGACAACAACCAAAAGCGGATTGATATGAATTATTTAAAAGTTACAGCAAAACTATTTGTCAGGCTTCTGTGATTACAAAACATTAACACGACCTAAAGTTCAGATTTTTGGGTATGACGGAAATGAAGAAGTCCCCTAGATTTTCATGATTTTTTGATCTAAGCAAATTTTGACAATTATGTAAGATTTGATTCCCTAACTTTTTGTTTGTTGTTGTTGTAAATTCTTCTAATTTGATCTATCACTCTAGCTATCAAAATAGCCATAAATACAAATTTACCCATATCTGCAAAGCTAGCTAATCAAAATCGAGTTTATCTCTTAAATTTAATAAATTGTACTATACATAATTACACTGAAAGTGGCTAATTTAGAGCGTTAAATTGCACTGATTTGCACTACTTTGACAAGTTGGTCCATCACATTTTAAATTTGAAAGTTCGAAACTTTCCTGCTTATTTCAGCTAGTTAGGTAGGCTATTCCAAGTCCGTGGCCCAATAGACATCAGACGTTTGGACCCAAATGTTGTTTAGTCAAGACTAACGCCGACTACGTTCTTCGGATTGCTTGATGAATAATTTGAAGACCGTATTTATAATTTCTTGTGCATAAAAAGCGGGATAACCGTTTCACTGTTTTGAATATTTTAATGCAAAGGATTCTCTGGAGGGAATTATGCATCATTCATTTATCTACCAACATATAGCAATATACATGAACCACGATAAAGCAGCTCTGATCCCATGATAAGTTTATTATCATCAGCGTAGTTATAAAGCATTCCTTGAAAAGAAATAAATCATTTATGTTAGAACTAAACAAGATAGGTCCCAGCACCTAGCCCTGGGGCACACCAGATATAACTTCTTTAAAATAACAAAACGTATTATTTATCTAAACGCATTGTTTTTGTCTGTTGAAATAAAATAAGATAAAGGATACTGCTCCATCAACATCAAATCCATATTGATGTAATTTTGCAATAAGCAAATCATGTGAAATGCAGTCGAAAACTTCCGTCGTTTGACCGCACCGACGTGAAAGTCATTTGAAAGGCTAGCCCCCAATTTTCAAAAGCAAGCGTACTCGTATTTCACAACGAGAGTATTCAACTAGTGACATAAGCAAAAATGTTTCGATTCTGCCATGTTTTCTTCAAGATATTTTTGAACTAAGAGGATACCCCACCCCTTTTCCTTAAAAATTGCCCTGATTGTATTTAATTTCAATCTAATCTAGATAGTATAGATGTATAATGAATATAGTTAAATATGAGTGACATGAATTGCTTTTTTTTATTTTACTAGTACAATCTACGCTGAAACTTCCATGTGAAGTCCTGAGCCAGGAAGTCTATTTTTCTGTCACTAAATGATGTAAAAACAATATCCAATTTCTTATGGGACAGATCCCCGTGCAAATGAACGGTCCTCCAGGTTAACACAAACTTATAGTGCCTAGTTTAGTAAGAATTTTTCTGTTTGGGGGAAACAGAGAAATGACATATTCCAAAAGATTTTATGAAGCTGACTTTTTCATCTATACCGTAAATCCTCGAATTGCCCCCCCTCGAATTGCCCCCACTACTACCGTAAATTATCAAATTGGACCCCTCGATTTGATGATTCTTGCCATCTGAGGTTGCCTATGGCGTTTTATTGAATTACCGCAACAAATTCATACTTTTGACTGTAGTTGATTAAATGCTCAAAAAGAAATAAACGAGTTCTTTTAATAGTGTCTTCTTAATGTCTACAATAATTTTATAAGCCCCCTTCGTATAAGCCCCCCTTTTATAGGCCCCCCCTCGATTAAGACCCCATCCAAAAATACCAAAATAAATAAGCCCCCAGGGAGCTAATTCGAGGATTTACGGTATGTTATTTGGCTGTAGTCACAAGTGTTCTGACAGGAAAAATTCCTTTTGGTCCTACGTTTCATTGGAAATATCTGTTTGTTGACATCAAGGTGAACATTATGCGTTTCAGCTCGATTTTGTTTATTTTATATCACAAGTAGTTTGCTCAATAAACAAATATTAAGGCAATTAGAGAACTTACTTCTGGATCTAGAGCATTACCTAAGAATCATCTGTTTTTTCTCATTTAATGACGTCATAATGTTCCCTTTACTTTTGTTCAACAAACAGTTACTCTTGCAGTACTTGAGACAATATGTGACAACCTTAACTCCACTCGCATCTTGTATTGGCTGCCAAAGTTTGTTGTGTTTTCCCTAATACCTCAGTTTTCCTAGGCCAATATTTGTAATACCGGATGCTCCTTGGCAATGCCGGATGTTTGTAATCATTATATGCCTTCAAAGTGAATAGAGTAAAGATTTTGTTTTTGCGCTATTTGCTATTTGCCGAGGCTTTTACAAGTTCGAGAAACGATATTTATTACAGATATAGAATAAACAAGCTTATCAACCACATTGCAAGCAATCCAATCCACTTTTAAAGGAATCCATTTTTCAAAAAAGCATGGATTGTCTTAAAAAAGTTCGGAATTTTGAAACATGGTGGTTTCAAATGGAGTAACTTGCTGAATAATCAGATAGAAAACAAGCAAGGGGATATAGTCTCAAAATTTATCAAAATTAATAGTAAGAAAAAGAAAGGGGCTGCTTTGGTATTCACAAGGAGGCTCACCCCACCGCCACCAAAGGAACCCCCTGGATCAATACCCCCTGAGTCACCTGAGCCACAACCCCGAAATTCCGGTCTTTTTGATGTTCTATGTAGCAAACGATATCTAAATGAACACGTTTTGTCACGATTGCGTCAATATATTTCAAATTAGATAGCATAATTTCATTATTTTGTTAGTGGAATCCTCTAAAGCTCAAGACAAGTGTCTTAGTCAATTAATAATAAAAAGATATTCCTTCCAAAATGTTAATTTGACGTAGTAATCTAAAGGCTTCTGTAGCAACTGACTAGCTAAGTCATTCATAGTAGTGATCTCATGAAATTAACTAATTAATCCCAAATAAATTAATAAATAAAAGCTGACAAGTATTTGAAGATCAATCTGTTTTAATGAAGAAGTCCAAAGAAGGCTGGTGAAAGTAAACAACGGACCAGATTGCTCTTGGCTTTTTACTTGGCCTTTAAGTATTACTGGGACTTTTAGAGGCTAGCGAATGGGTTTATGTGGGGCCTAGTAGTTGAGTTGGGACATTTATGGGGGATTTGGTGCAAATTTTTGGTTCAAGCACAGAGAGATGTTAAAATCAGTCGCACTGGTTTGTGAATTGACTTCTATAACAGTTTCCTTTGATTTTTGTCATGGTTATCAAGGATGATATCAAAAGAGACATGAAAGAATTATGAGACACAGAAAACGAGGAACGCAACATATCGTGTCTTAAACGCGTCCAGTTTCTAGCTAAAAGAGAGCATTGTGCTATCAAGCTTTTGCTATTTTCTAGAGCCAGGTTAGAAAACCGGTCTAATTAATGGATGCTACTCATGAATTTCTTAAGAGATCTTTTGTATTTAGCCTGATTAAAAGAACTGATGGACATATTACTAATTTACAACTGGTTTACCATTATCCCACTACGGCGATTCATGTATAGAGTTTAATGAGGATTATTATGAAAACATGTTGTATCTAATCAGCCGCAATACGATGTTGTTAGATACCAACTTATAGTTAAGCTTAAATACTTGTACTCAAGTTTATTATGCATAAATGCCAGCAGTGGCAAAGCTCAAGTCGCTATAAACGCAATAATTACCCAATCACTAACGAGCCACACGTAAATGACGTCCTCGCAGAGGGGGAGGAAGGGTTTGTGGCAGAGGGGAGGAAGGGTTAGCGGTTTTGGTGATTGAAGGTGACACATACAAACCACGAAAAAATTTTACTCATTTTCTTTGTTCTTCTATTCAATAGAATTTTTAGCAAGAGGTAGTGTGAAAAGTGACGTCACTGGCAATACAATATAGGGGGTCAGAGAGTTGGTGACACACTGGTGATAGGGGGAAGAATCTTCAAATTTTTGGCGACGCCATTTAATTTATGACCCCTAATAGTCACGAGCGTTTTAGCTTGTTTACAATTTTTTGGCTTGTCAAAGAATCATACACAGTTGCCCTTACATCAACTTTCCTAAAATGTTAGAATACAGTAACAGTTTAGGAACGAAATGAATGAAAGTGATGCCCTTCGCCGGTTGTCCGTTCTGGGCTCTCTCGAGATGACCAAACAATCGCAACTTGCTCTCCCTGACCTTTTCTAAGATATTACACACTTTCAGTTCTTTCCTGATGTCATCGCTCCTTCTTCGATCGCGCAACGTAATGCCCATGATTCTTCGTAGCATTCTCATTTCCATCTTTAGGAACAAACTTTCGTCCTTTCTCGTCAGCGCACTCGCTTCCAGACCATACAGTAACACAGGTCTTACCACTGTTACATACAGCTTAGCTTGTCACTGATATCACCAGATAGTTCCCTCCACTTGTTCCAATCCGCTGTAACTCAGGCTCTGATAGCGATTTCCGAACCACCTTCCTCGCTCACCATCATACCCAGATACTCGCACTCTCTAACTTGCTTCAGTGGTGTGTTACAATGCTTTACCGTGATGTTGACTCTTGTCTTGCTTCTACTGCTCACCATTACCTTAGTCTTCTTGACTTTTACTTTCAGGCCTTTCTTCGCCATACCCTCGTGCCAAACGTCCCATTTCTCTTTTAGTTCCTCTTCACTATCCGCCATCAGCACCAAATCATCAGCAAACAGAGTTTCCCACTGAACTCCGCTTCTTCACACCTCACTGGTCACATCCATTACAATTACAAACAAGAACGGACTAAGTGCAGATCCTTGATGCAAGCCGACGCAGGGACCGGGCTCCAGTCTAAATGTGGGAGGGCTGAAAAGAGCGTGACCGAAATGTTTTGAGGCCACGCCCTCTAGTCTTATTTTAATTTTATCATATTTATACACAGAAACCCTATCAGCTACCAAGTTAAAAAAACTGCTGTCTCATTTCTACTGAGGTTTTCAATAGCTATAAAATACATAAAATTAGCTTGGGGATAATAAAACATCAAGAAAAACACCTAGAAAATGAACAATAAGGGTTCCCAGTCCAGAAGAACTGCTACTGCGTAGGAGTATATTATCCAATGTTGCGTTAGAGCATAGTTAGATTAAACTTTTCAAAAAGTTCTCTAACCTGTCATTGCAAAAAAGTGGAGGGGCTAAAGCCCCTGCTAGCCCAATGGCTGCGCGGTGCCTGAGCCGACATCAATGGTGTACTCTTACGTTTCCCCATATGACGTTCTCACTACTATTCTAGCGTTGTAGTACGTTGACTTGACAAGCCTGACCAGTTTCTCTGCTACATTCTTCTTCCACAATACACCAGGTCTCTCTTCTCTAGATCGACAAAGCAGCTTCATCTCCCAATATTTTATGCGGAGGAGCAAAATTCGTCAGCTACCACCTTAATTGCGAATGTTTATTAATCATGTTGATAATCACGAAAAATGGGACGTACTGTTTGAATAAAAACTCGAGAAATTGAATGAATGTTGTTTTGAGGCTTAAGTGGAGTTTCAAACAAGAAGATAAGCTGTATTTCTTGCGCAAGTCGTGAGGTTTAGGATAAACAGTCAATTTTTAAAGCCGTGCAGGAAGATCATTTGAAAAAGGAAGAAAGTTCGCTAGACTTGGCCTACGTGCAGCGTTTAGGTCACTTACACCTGGTGGTTGAGTTTGCGAAATCCTCTTGGCTAGGAGCAAAATTACATTAAAACGATGTTTCACTTACCAAGGTGTGCGTCCGTTTTAACGGATGATGTGGACGTGCAAAAGTTTTTCAGGATGCTGTCAAGTTTAGATGTTAACAGCAAAGAGAGCTTGCAGCCATTTTTAGAGAAATTTGGAGGGGTCAAGTTCAGGGTTTCTGGAGTCAGTGAAAGTGTTGCTATCACAGGAAATGACTCCCAATCTTCGCCTGATTTTGAGCAATTCTCGATTGATCTTTGGAAGGAATATTATATCCAAGAAGATGTTTATCAGTTGGGAATTCTGGAAGATAAATCCCCGTTAGAGGTAAAATATCAACTCACGTGTACATTCATATACCTGTTGCATCTTCCTTCAGCAGTCTTTTTTTCATGGAGTGAAATGTTCGAACTGCAACCGAAACCATACTTCAATGTTTCTCTTGTAATTTTTTCAAGGGTCCATAAGAAAGAATAAGTAAATATACATCAATTTTATTATTATTCTTGAGACAAAAATGTTACCTGAAAATTTTATTCTTGAGACA